GATACCGCAGATTCTGGGTATGCATTGGGATAGGTCAAATGACTGCTTTCCTACTTTAGGGTTGGCACACCACATGATAAATGCACCAAGCGCACAATTCTCTCTACAATTGCTAGACTCTGGGATATAATGGGGTTTGCTGCTCCCTCCATTCTGTATGCCAAGCTCATAATTAAGGACCTTTGGTTGCTAAAATGTGATTGGGATGACGTACCACCATATCATATAGTTTCTGCTTGGAATCAGTTTTGTTCTGAACTCTACGCACTCAATAGTTTACGAATCCCTCGTCACCTTGGTATAAGTAAGGGATGTGATGTACGGCTTATCGGGTTTGCCGATGCCAGCGAGCGTGCTTACGGAGGCGTTGTGTACGTGCAAGTACAAAATGACCACAAATATAATGTGCAACTTCTGTGTGCAAAGTCTAAGGTTGCTCCCATAAAAACTATTTCGGTCGCGAGACTAGAACTGTGCGCAGCAGTCCTGTTAGCTAGATTGATATACAAGGTGAAAGAGTTATTCGCCTCCAGCGATTCTAAAATAGTGCTTGCGTGGATAAATTCATCACCACACCGTTGGCAAACCCAATTTTTAAAAGGTTGTCAACGCATCTGTAACTCTCGGGTGTGGCAGATGTCCATGGGCGGCGGTATTCACTTAACATCAGGTGAACCGTCTGCTCGTTTGACAACTTTTCGCATAAAAAAAAAAAAAAAAAAAAAAAAAAAACCTTTGTCGCCAATCGCGTAGTAACACTGGCTGAACTTATCCCCGCCAATCGGTTTTATCACGTTGCCGGCTCCGAAAATCCCGCTGATTGCCTTTCGCGTGGACTTACTCCAAAGAGTCTAATTGATCACGACTTATGGTATAATGGCCCTCCATGGGCTTCCCGAAATCCCTCAGAGTGGCCTATCAATATTTTCGATCATAATGAGCCCATTGATGGTATTCCAGAGCATAAGTCTACCGTGCATGTAGTTACAACAGACGTCTCTGAATGTTCGCTAAGTAGACTTGTGCAACGAGTATCGTCATGGTCAAAATTGTTACGTATAATAGTGTACATGTATCGCTTTATAAAAAAACTTCCTGTCCGTGAATTCGTTTCTAGTTGCGACTTGCAATTCGCGGAAAACAAACTTATTTCTTATCTGCAGAATTTGCATTTCGCAAAAGAGATCGAGACTCTAAAATATAATAAACGTTGTTCCTCAACGCTTTGCAAGCTTAGTCCATTTCTCGATGAAAATAATATCATTCGTGTTGGGGGCCGACTCTTAAACTCCTCCGAACACTTCGACTACAAACATTCATATATATAACCGCGTCACGACCGAATTGTAGAATTACTTATTGAATATTATCATAAAAAATATTTACATGCCGGACCAGTTGCTTATGTCCTTACTAAGGAGTAAATATTGGATACTCGCCGCTAGACGAATTATTCGTCACATAATACTTGTTTTAAGTCTAAGCCACGTCCCGTTTTTCCGCTCATGGCTGACCTTCCTAGTCATCGCGTGAATCAATGTCAAAAGCCCTTTACGCATACCTGCGATGGTTGCGATTACGCTGGTCCCCTACAATACACGCCTATTCGCGCACTTGGTGTAAGGAGTCGTAAAGCTTGTGTACCGAGATCGCACACGAACTAAACGCATTTTATATTTTTTATATCGATGTTCGGTGCTTAATTAGCAGTGACAAAACGCAGTCGCTTTCCGGCTGTCAAGCGCGCCGTACTAAGGACATTCCCCCCCAACATCCCCCTACCGACAACGTCGCGTGCTTGAGTATCGAAGCCTGTAACCGTTGCGTCCACGCATCCTATCGCTGTGGTGAAGAACTCTCAACCTATCCGCGTGTGACCTGAACTCTGATCGGAGGCCTGTGAAACGAAGGTGTTAGCTCATCGATGGCTGGTAGCAGTGTAAGGTACGTGCGTGCTTTATATTTGTTACTGCCTATTTCAAGGATTGAACATCGATCATCGCAAATCCTCTGACGCTCCGTGTCTGTCCCAGTGTAGTATTAAAGCCACCCCATTTCGGCTAGGTGCGTATGCTACATTTTATGGTGCTGAAACCCGGGAGCTACACCTATTCATACCGTTATCGAAGTTACTTGTGGTATTTCTGGTTAAATCGTGTGTAATTTAGTATATTTTTAACGTATAAAAACTAGACATCGTATGCTAAGTTATTTCCTAGAAATATCCTATAACTAACTAATTACATATTAACAATCACGGCCTATCACCATCGAACAGGCATTATTACCATTTTATTTTGTCTCATTATTCGCGAATTATTGTAAGATCAAATTAAGCAATCACTTCAATTTATCGGTGCTTAATTTCATATCGGCTTGCAATAATTCATTTCAGTATATTGTATCTACATCATTTGTTACATTACATTTTCAATAAACACGCATTTTAAACTTGAAATAAACGTTTGAAACGAAAACTACAATATCATATTTTTATCAACAAATTGAAAGGTAGGTTGAAATCTTTCGAACCCAACGGCCGGTCGAGCGTTCAATCATTACTTTGTTGTTGAGTACAGTCTGCCACATAATAAACGCGTTTAAGTTAAGTACTCTCATAATAATTCTGTTCAAACTTGCGTGGTGGATTGTACGCAGTACGAATAACAACGTATTTTAAAAGTTTAACGTTTTATTGTCAACATTGTTTTATTCGTATTTTACTTATATCGTTTTTTATTCGTTTCGTAAATGTCGTTTCTTTATATTTTGTACAATGTCGTTATTAACTAAGCATTCTACTCGTAAATTAGGTACTTTAAAAAAGTCTTAGTCGAAATCTATGGACACTGAGTGTAATGAACGGGACTTGCCGTCGTTACGTAGAAAACGAACTATCGCTTACAAACGATTAACTAAAGGCCCATTTACACGGTGCCAGTTTCTTGCCTGTTGTATACAATTAAATTGAAGCAATAAATGAGTTGCATGGTCTAAACAACAAATGGTCTAAACAATTATTGCGCGCAATTTATTGCATTCAATTATTGCTCTTGTATGTTCAAGAAAATGGCATCGTGTAAATGGGCCTTAAGGCATTAGAGATCGGCGTTTTGGCTACTAATGACTATACTCAAAGTAATTTATTTTTCTCTTATTATCAGGACGCTAAAGAGATAGCCGCGAATTTTGAAAATGCACATTTTTTGATCTTGGAAATTTTAGATGATCCTGATAATGAGGATAATGATATGCAGGAACGTTTTGATGAAATGTATTACAAAGTTTTATCAATTAATCGTAACTTAACCGTTTGTGAATCGTCTCATACTCAACAAGTTTCAAATAGTTCATCATCAAATATTCGACTTCCTAAAATAGTACTAGTACTACCTAATTTTTCTGGTAATATAAAACAATGGCCAGAATATTTTGACACTTTTAACGCGCTGATACACAATTCCCCTTCTCTTACCGATACAGAGAAATTTCATTATTTGGTTTCGTCGCTTAGCGGTGATGCACTGTCTGTGACTAAAACCTTTCCTGTAACACACGAACACTATCATGATGCATACCAGGCGCTGACTGCTCGCTACAAGAATAAACGAGATTTTAGCATTTACGTGTTGGCGCGAAATTTTAAATATGGAGTTCAAAGGGAACAATCCCTATGAGTTTCGTAAATCACTTGACTTACTCGAAGAAAATTTATGCATTTTGAAAACTATAAATTTACCTGTCGTTCATTGGGATTTTATATTAGTGTATCATATTTTATCGGAACTGGGTTGGCGACGTGGTTTTGAGGAAAAACATTCCGATATCAAGCTACCTTCCTATGAACAGCTAAAATTGTTTTTGCAATCTAAATGTGAATCGTTATTGCGTGATACTCATTTTACCGATTTATGCAAAATAAATAAATTTTCGAAAAGATCGTGTCAATGCCGCCTCGACCTAAGCGTATCATTACGACGAATGCACTTGTAGCCGCGGCAGATAAACAAAATTTTTATTTAAATGATAATTCGAAAACCGTTACACGATCGTCCAAATGTTCTTTTTGTAACGAATCGCATTCAATTTTATCGTGTCCAGAATTTCTTAAAAAATCACTAGATGAACGTATGCAGATCGCTAACGACAGAAAATGGTGCTTTAACTGCTTGAAACCATCGCATCAATTAAGAAATTGCAATTCAATATTTTCATGCCGTACTTGTAAACGGAAGCATCATACCTTACTCCATCGCGATAAATCTAGCGATCCCGATCAATCCGTATCGTCTTTGGTGTCAAGGTCAAAGTTAAATACAACCGTGTTACTAGCGACTGCCGTAGTACAAGTCAAGGATGCGTCGGGCAATATGCAATCTTTCCGTGCCTTATTCGACACAGGCAGTCAAAGCAACTTTATCACAGAGTCCGCAGTTAAACGTTTGCGTCTGCAACCACTAAAGTCCACTGCGAATATTAGCGGGCTCGGAGAAGCCGTTACTTCTATTATCGGAGACGTAAAGTGTTGCATAGGTTCTAACGGACAGGTAATTTTTAATCTAGACATGCACGTAATTCCTACAATATGTGGCGAACAACCTATTGCGAAACTCAGTACGTCGGGATGGTCGCATATTAAATCATTACCGCTAGCAGATCCAGGTTTTGATATTCCAGGACCAATCGATATTCTATTCGCTGCCGATGTCTTCGCTGACTCATTACTTAACCAACATATCAAAGGCAACTCTAGTCAACCCACTGCATTCAACTCTGTGTTTGGTTGGCTTCTACTAGGTAAAACTAGAATAGCTTCCAGTAGTACATCATTGCACACGTCCGTAAAATTGGATGGTGAGCTAAATGAGTTAGTTCAACATTTTTGGGAAATAGATTCTTTACCCAAACGATCGCTGGTAACACCAGATGAATTACTCTGCGAGCAAAAGTTTACTGCTGACCATTCTCGCGGTAAATCTGGACGATACACATTACGCTTACCCTTCAAGGATGATGTAGAGCCCACCTTCGAGGGTTCTCGTGATGTTGCACTGCGCCGCTTCCACGCAATCGAGCGAAGACTTTCTCGTGATCCCGACCTACATAAACAGTATGCGGAGTTTATGTTTGACTATATCGAAACCGGTCATATGTCATTAGTTCCTGTTACAGAGATGGGTAAAGGTAAATATTATATTCCGCATCACTGTGTTTTACGCCCAGACTCCACGACTACCAGACTTCGGGTTGTGTTCGACGCTTCTGCCAAAGATTTTCATTCCCGTTCTCTAAACGACACTTTACTTATCGGTCCAAAATTACAACCTAATATTTTGGAAATACTTTTACGGTTTAGGGAACATAATATCGTTTTCATGGCAGATGTCCGTCAAATGTATCGACAGATCGTTGTGTCACCAGACCATCGTGACTATCAGCGCATTTTTTGGAGAGCTTCGTCAAACGAGACTCTTCAAGAAAATCGTTTGTATACGGTCACATATGGCGTAGCGTCATCTCCATTCTTCGCTTGCCGTACTTTGCGACAGCTTGCTGAAGACGAAGGAGATTCGTATCCCATTGCAAAAAAGATACTATTATCCGACGTTTATATCGACGACGTAGTAACCGGATGTGACACACTAGAAAACGCTCAACTGGCCAAATCACAAATTATTACTTTGTTCAATTTAGGATGTTTTCAACTTAGAAAATGGGTTAGTAACGATTCAAAACTGTTGTATGATCTCCCTGTCGAAGACTGTTTGACAGGTTCGGTGTCATTCGATAATTCTGAAAACCCGACTTTAAAGGTTCTTGGTCTCAGATGGTATTGGGTCAATATCGGATTCTTTTTATTTCGAAATTACACCGTCAAACCGGCCATGCACTAAACGCACAATTTTGAGTGAACTCGCTAGAATATTCGATCCCTTAGGTTTTTTATCTCCGATTACGATTCAAGCAAAATGTTTGATTCAACGGTTATGGATTCATGGTCTTGGTTGGGATCAAACTCCGCCAAATGACGTCATTCGCATGTGGGACACGTATCGAAATCAGCTATCACAATTAACTCAACTTAAGATTCGTTGCAGACTAACTTGTACACAACCTAAATCATTCGAGTTACACGGTTTCTGTGACAGTTCTGAGTTGGCTTACGGTGCTGTCATCTATTTACGCGTTACGAATGAGAATGGTAAGGTACATGTTTTCTTTGTTTGTTCAAAGGCACGGGTTGTACCACTTAAACGTATCTCTTTGCCACGCTTAGAGCTCTGTGCTGCTGTTCTCCTTTCCGACCTCTATAAATTCATTCTAGACACATACCTTTCTCATATTTCATTCGATGCAGTGTATTTGTGGTCCGATTCAACCGTGGTCCTCTCATGGTTACGCTCGCACTCATCCCGTTGGGCCACGTTCGTTGCAAATCAACACTATTCGTACAAATCGAAGCTGTACTTAATTCTAGACCGTTATGTCCTATCAGTTCCGATCCCAACGATCTTTCCGTATTGACGCCAGGTCATTTTCTAACCTTGGAGCCTTTAACAGCTGTTCCCGATGAGGATCACTCATATGTTAACGTTAATCGGCTTCGTCAGTGGCAGTTGTTACAAGCACTTCACCAGAATTTTTGGTCCTGATGGAAAAACGATTATCTACATTCTCTTACACAACGCACTAAATGGACCAAAAATTCAAAACCGTTGCAGATAGGTTCGATGGTGATAATCAAAGACGATAATCGTACTCCGTTACACTGGCCCTTGGGCAGGGTTGTCGACCTAATTACTGGTGCTGATGGAGTAACTCGTATTGCTATCGTGAAGAACTCAAGTATTCACTTAATCAAGCGACCGTTGGTTAAGTTATGTCCATTACCCATGGAAGACTAACTTATATTAACTTATTCTCTTAGTCATAACTTAGTATAGGATATCGTAATCATTTAGCTTAAACGTCTAACATTAGTTTTAGTTTGATTTCACTTAAATTATCATAGTTTTCTTATATTTTATTTTTAACCAGAAAATGCCACAGTCATTTTGGTGGGCGGTATGTACCGAGATCGCACGCGAACTAAACGCATTTTATATTTTTTATATCGATGTTCGGTGCTTAATTAGCAGTGACAAAACGCAGTCGCATTCCGGCTGTCAAGCGCGCCGTACTAAGGACATTCCCCCCCAACATCCCCCTACCGACAACGTCGCGTGCTTGAGTATCGAAGCCTGTAACCGTTGCGTCCACGCATCCTATCGCTGTGGTGAAGAACTCTCAACCTATCCGCGTGTGACCTGAACTCTGATCGGAGGCCTGTGAAACGAAGGTGTTAGCTCATCGATGGCTGGTAGCAGTGTAAGGTACGTGCGTGCTTTATATTTGTTACTGCCTATTTCAACATTCAATTGAACATCGATCATCGCAAATCGTCTGACACTCCGTGTCTGTCCCAGTGTAGTATTAAAGCCACCCCATTTCGGCTAGGTGCGTATGCTACAGCTTGGTTGTGCGTATTCACTTGCTTAACAACTCGCGCTACGCATATTGAAATTGCAACAGATTTAAGTACTCCGTCATTTTTGGCTGCTTTAAAGAGATTTCTCTCTCGCCGCGGCCCGACAAAGTGTCTTTACACAGATAACGGGACTTGCTTCGTTGGTGCGTACTCTTACTTACGAGATCTGTATAAATTTCTTGACGCTGAGTATCGACCTCACCTTTAGGAAGAGCTTGCTGAGAACGCATTGAATGGAAATTCATACCACCTGCATCCCCTCATTTTGGCGGCTGTCCGGAGAGCATGATTAAGGTTAGTAAGTCACACCTCTTCAAGGTGATAGGTCAACAAATCCTCTCTTACGAAGAGCTCTTGACGGTCTTGACGCAAATTGAGGCACTCCTTAATTCGCGTCCTTTGACCGCCATGAGTAGTGATCCAGCGGAACCATCCGCACTCACGCCCGCGCATTTTTTAAATACTGTCCCGTTAGCATCGATACCTGCGACGGACACGAACTCTTTAAGCTTAATCCAGCGACATTCTCTGTTAGATCATCTTGTCCAGAGTTTCTGGCAGCAATGGCGTAGTGACTACTTGCATAAATTGCAAGAAAGAGCTAAATGGAACACACCTTCTGTACCCATACGAGAAGGAACGGTAGTGGTTATTAACATCGACAACGCGCCCCCTTCGTCTTGGCCGCTAGGAGTCTTGGAAAAGGCTCACTTTTCTAAAGACGGAAAAGCACGAGTCGTTACTGTAAAAACTGCCAAAGGCAGCTTTATACGTCCAGTGGTGCGCTTGTGCCCACTACCAAATCAATAGCCGCCATGATGCTTAGGCTAAGTACATAGTTATAGTAGGTATATGTGTTGTATTTTCGTTTTAGTACCCGGAGGACCGAGCTTTCTTCGGTTTGTTTTTTTTTGGTAAATCGTGTATTTTGGAAATTACATTTAGATACAAATTACTGAGTAATGAAATATGCATAATATTTTTCGATCTTACCGACGTAATAATAAGAAAATATGAACTGATGTTTTTCACAAAAGAAAACTTTAAAAAAAAAGGGAAAAAAATAACCAAACAACAAATCGACAAAAAATTAAAAATAAAGAAAGCAATGATCTGGAATTAAAAAAAAAGTAAAAAAATAAATGTGTAAATGATCGTGACGCGAACCACGGCCGTCTGTTTTGGAGCCGCCCGATTACCGACCGAGCTATTACGACATTTTCTCTTGCGGCGAAATTTACCGTCGTATTCGAATTATATTTTTCATTCCCTGAAAACAGGGATAAAATGACATTTTCTAAAAATGAAACCTAGCTAGATCGATTTTTCGCTCCCGAATCTACGCACATACTAAATTTCATGAAAATCGCTGGAGCCGTTTCCGAGATTCCTTATATATATATATATATATATATATATACAAGAATTGCTCGTGGTGGTGGATAAGATTAATTCTCATACAAATAATTTCATATATTTTAATATAGTGTTATCATATACTAACACAGCGGATACGGAAATGTATTATATTGTATATTTTATATTAATATAATTCTTTAAAGGCAACCCTTTAGGGCCGGGGGGATGTTAGCGAGAAACCACCATCCACACCTGACTCCACCAGTGGGAGATCGGTGTGGGGGTTCGCTCCGGCTGACTCAATCGGACCGATCGAGACCACAGGGTGAGACTCGGTGAACAGTCACGGGGACGGACAGAATTTATATTAAATAGGCGCCAGCCCGCCCCGTGCAAGACAGAATAATGCTTATTCTAAGGGATTTACTTAGTGGAAATAAAAGATATATTCTTTAACATTTTTAGAATTTATTGATACAAGATTTGAAATATAAAGCTAAACTATATCAAGTTAAAAATATTGAAAGGAGATCTCACCAATTAGACATTATTACATTAAGATTAAGATTTGAGAGTACATTAAATTAATCACCGTTACAAAGCAGTATATAAACACAATCATTAGTTTAATGGCTAGTTACAGATTAGAACAAAAACATACCAGAAGGAAACATAACTAGTTTCCAAATAAGGGTGAAGACAATCAGCTCAGCAATGCTCACATGCCACCGAGGGGCATTCGGCTAGTCCGCGGCTTCAAGTTTGACGTGGACAGCAGGACTTCAGATTCTTAGTATATATAATTATGCAGTTGCATATAAGGCGAACACGCGGTTCGATATCAAGCCATCAGAGAGAAGCAGATCAGAGTGATAAGAGATAGCATAAAAAAAGAAGAAGAGAAACCAATAAAAAAAACCAAACCCAAAACGATGTTGGTTTTTTTATATAAAATATAAAGGCCAAGACGCCATATACAAGTAGGATGTCAACGGATGTGGCCCAAGATGCCACATATTCCTCTCCTACATGCTCCTACTTAGAAAGCAGACGCGTCAACACCCGACGCTCCAACCACACAAAACTTCAAGACGAAACCGACCGCCGTTCTCCTCGGAACGACAGATGACACAATCGACATAGACTATGCTAAACAAGACAACGTTTCTAAGCGAAAATTATGTAAAAACAATTTGCTTGATATTAGTCCAACATAATTAAAATTATATTATTTTATATTTAGGGACAATAATATCATCAGCAACGAAATAATCCAAGAAAATAAACTAAGGCAACAAGGTGACCTAGCGCCATCTATGATAAATTTGTATTGTTCACAACAGATGTCGCTATATTTTCTACTATGGATCGCTAATATAAGCCACTCGAAACTCAAGGGTACGAGGCGTCGAAAAAAAAGTGTTACAGGTTTCAGCAAAACTTGATCGTGGGATTATGTCGCGATGCTGCGAAGAAGACGCTGCTTAGTTGCACTTTTCTATGGGAACGGATATGTAACACCCCAATAAACAGAACTTGTTGACAATGCGGTAGTCATTCATAAATGCGTCGTATACTTTTGAAACGAACTTGTGTGCGTGTTAGTTATGAATGATCTCGCGTAAAATAAATGAGTTGCCCATAAATTACGCACTTTTTGAGATAAGTTAAAATGAATGTAATTAATAAATTACGAGTGATTTTAAATATTTCTCATTTTTTATACAACATTATTTACGTCTAGAATTTAAATAAAAAAATGGATACACTTAGAAAAACCTCCCTGTATATAGTATCTTCCCGATGTTTTCTTGACGTCAGCAATGACAAGTAGTGGGTACCTACTTTTGTGCAGATGTATTGGGTGGCGTTACTCTTAGCTGCGTTGGTGTGCTTGCATCTCTACCAGAGGATGATAACCCGACGAGAGCGCGGGATGCTGGCGCACTTGCCCTCATGGACCGTCCTGCCGTTAATAGGCAACGCATTAAAATTCATCGGCAAACGCAACGGTGAATAATCTGATTTTTTTTAACAATAATCTCGATGTTGAGATGCCATGCATCAAGCACCAGTGTGTTTTGAACCTTCGTAAGACAGTGTTCTACCTCCCTACCTACGCCTCGTTTTGTCACAATATCACACACTGCCTGACATTGACATTGTAGACACTTTTTATTCAGTTCCGTAGAGAAAAACCATAGTTTTTGTTTATGTTTTATTGGGCCGTTCACCCGGATGTATTTCTCGAAGAAAACCAGAACAATAATAACGCATACATTTACATCTATATGTCTCTAATTGCAAATCTACAGAATTGGACCAAAATTGATTGACCCAGTGCGTATTCTTATTTTCATTCTTTATCGTCGATTTTTTTCTCTTCTTAGATTTGTCCAAATATTATAACGAGGTCTCTGAGATTATTGAAGAGACAAAGCTTCCGTTTGTGATATGGCTCGGTAACATATACGGCGTCGGTAAGTTTGTATATACCAGTAATAACTAGACAAGGTAGCAAACGAGCGGGTGGTTCACCTGATGTTTAGTGGTAACCGCCGCCCATGGACATTTGCAACACCCGTAGGGTTGCAAATTACGTTGCCACCTTTTAAAAAAATTGGGCCCCGGCTACTTAACTCACCAGACGAAACGCAGAAGTATAACACTTCCACTTCACGCCGGTCTTCTGTGAAGTAATTATACTTATCCTGACGGACCTGCCCATTCGTGCAACAGAAGTTGTTGCGTGCCCCTACCACCGTTTTATAACGTAAGTGCTAGTTACGATCTCTTAACATTTTTTTCTTTTGTAATTTTTTTTCTCAAAGGTTACCTATAACTATTCTGCCAGGGAATGCAGCTAGCTTCTGGCTACCACAACGTGCGGGCTAGGCTAGTTGTTATAACCTATGACCTTTGCGCAGTTGCTTAGCCTTAGAAATATTTTTCCCACACGGGACAAATGTTTCTGTGACCGACTGAGAACTGTACCGGATCCGGGTGTTTGTTCCGAAGGTTGTGGCAGGCTGCGGCTGGTAAATGCTACTAGTTTATTTTTATGTGAGAAAGTGGCAAACGAGCTGGCGGTTCCCACGGACACTTGCAACACCGGTTGCAGATGTGTTACCACCTTTTAATAAAAGTAACTAACAACATTATTCACATATTGCGCCGGCCTCGGCAAATTAAATTTTTCTTTTGTTAGTATTTTTAGAAACTGCTCTTGGCCATAGTTAAAGGTTGATTAAAACCAAAATGATTGAAACTGATGCTATTGTATTAGAAGAAGTACAAAGACAGATAGAAATAAAGCGATAATAGGTAGTCTAATGTTTTACAATCATCCCATCTGATGCTGTGGCGATTTAGCTGTAGGTAAACCTTTTAGTTTGTTACAAAAAAATTGAAGTCCACACGTTTCTACGCGTCAACGTACTACTTTATTAATCTCAAATAAATTCCCCATTAGTTATAAGCTTTTATATAAAAATATTTTTTTGTGATGGAAAGGTATACATTTCCATCTTGCATCATATAAGTATAGTGATATTTTAACGGGTTTGAAATGAATCAGTTTATTCTGCTCGTTTTACTGTATTAAATTTCTTCTATAAAGTGCTGTCGGATCCAGAAGAAGTGCGGGCCGTATCGACCAACAATTTAGACAAATCTTATATTTATGACTTCACTCATATCGTGTTTGGCGAAGGTCTTGTAACTGCGCGTGGTAAGTAGTTAAACTCATTGTATACAAATCACATTTTTCATAAAATTTATTTTAAGAAATTCTTATGAAGTAAACTTTAAAAATGCCTAGGAAAGTAAAGTTTAGTGTTTCGATTAGTGGTATAGGTACACCCTATACCACTGATATGTCGCTACTGGTATAGGACCTTACGGACTGCATCAGTTGAAGGGAAGGGGGTCCAAAATGTGAAGTTTGCTAATATCTTACACCCCCTGAACAATTAATTGGAAGTAATCATAAAATTTTAAAGTTTCACATAAAATTACAAAGGCAATAATTTTATTATATGAGGCGGAAATGTGTCCTTTTGAAAACCTATTTAAAAAATGTTTTAGGTGCAATTTGGAAGAACAATATCAAGAAGTTGGGCAGTGCTTTCAAGTCAAGCGCTGTGGATGCCTTTCAGGTGGTATTCAACGAACAGTCGAGGGGTTTGATCAAAAGCCTGGAGACTGAAGTTGGCGGCGGACCATTCGAACTGCAACACAAGTACCTCACTAACGTAACCCTGAGGGCTGTGTCTCGTAAGTTGTTCATTACATAGTCTATTCAGACACACGATTTGTGCAAACAAATCTAAACACATGTTTACACAATGGTACTTTTGATGCCTCCCCACAAATAAAAAATAAGACGTTACAAAATTAAAATCTAAATGCAACCTTTAATCCATTGATACCTACTGTAATACTATTCTTTGTTAAAAAAACAATATAAGAAAAAGTAAATGGTTCTCATTGGAGGTAACAAATATTCAGGATTGGAGGTCACCAGGGCATCTAGGTCTTGGAACATGGATATACTATCCCCTGTGCACTTGTTTCACAAGTACCTGTTCATGAATTTATTGCACTTCACTTTTATTTACAACTTTAGAGGGTAGCTACTTTGTAGATGCCATAGATGGAAATACGAATTTGTCAGATTTTCACGGATGGTAATTATTTCAGAAATAACGTATATATTAAAGATAGCTGTAAGCAAATAATTTGTACGAGATTTTGTATTTTGAAGAATATTTTTATAAAGCGTTAAGTAATTGTTTAGAATCCGCCCTCGGCATATCTGGTGATGGTGACATAATAGACGAGAAGTTCACTCATGCTTTCGTTCGAGTGATGGAATTGATTCTTGACCGAACCATGAACATTTGGCTACACTCCGAAGCTGTGTATCGTCTGACACCGGCTTACAAAGAGTCTGAAAAGTGCGCAGGAATAGTCTGCAATATTACGGAAAAGGTGAGTGACATGATCGTCGCAATGGCGGCAATATAGAATTTATAGAACATGAACATGAACACAGCATTGACCTTAATTCATCAATAATATATCCTTATCTATCTTCTTTATATATATGTAAGAGATTTCCACCGATAATTGACTCTTCACGACATCTCTGGAACCATAAGGCGTAGAAACTTGAAATTTGGTAGGAATATTCCTTTCGACGAGTAGAGGTCAGCTAAGAACGGATTTTACGAAATTCCACAAAACAACGTTTGCCGAATCAGCTAATTATAATATAATTTTCTAGGTATTTTATATTAATAAATGTTTTAATAACTGGTGTTCAACGCCGCACCTTTTAAAGAAAAATCTAAATGTCTCCTATTTACATTGCAGGTTTTAAGACAAAGAATAAACCAAAAGGAGGATAAAATAAATGTAGACAATGGAAATCAGGGTACGTGAATATATATTTGCAGGTTTATTTTAGAAATTTCAATTACTTATAATATAAAGACTGACTGGATGAATGAATGAACTGGATGTATAGAATATTTGTTATGGTACTGCTATTGAAATTTCACAAAAACCTTTCCGTTCAGATTCCGATGTTTCGATGAAGTCTTTCCTCGATCTTCTGTTGGAGATGAGGGAAACTGACTCCAGTTTGACCGAAGAGCAGATCAAATACGAATTGACTACGATTCTGCTGGCGGGGCAAGAGACCGCCGCAGCGGCACTCAATTTCATTTTACTTACACTCGGATGCAAACCGGACGTCCAGGGGAAACTGTATCGCGAGTATGTCTCTCTCTTTAAACTTGTAAATAAACCATTCAAATATACTGCTATCTCACATCCATCCAAGTATTTGGGCTGACATATTGTGATGATTTTGTGTCGTATTCATTCGTGCTTTGTTATAAATGAGGTGCGATGCTAGGAGTAACACGGCGTATTTTTTGTATGATAAGTTGGCAAGCGAGCTGGCGGTTCTCCCGGTGTTAGGTGAGTTCTGACGGGTTGCAGAGGCGTTGCCGACCGTCAAGAAAATGGGTCTCGGTTACCCCACTCACTAGACGAAACGCGAAAGTACATACATCCACTTCACGCCGGTCTTCTTTAAGGCCGTGGTGATTCCCTGTACGCAACGGAACTCTTTGGAACGCGCACTTGAATCCCGTCAACGCGTCTCACGGAACGCGCCTCCACCGAGTGTAATTGGTCCACGAACGCGCCGTCATCGCAAGCTCCCACCGCGCCTGCGCGACTAGACCGACGTCGAATCCTCCATCTTTTTTGCGGTTGATGTGTGATGCGTACTTTTAAAAAAAAACAATTATTAAACTAGACGAACGAATATTACTGAGTTTGAGTTTTACTCCAAAGCAACCCACGAAATCACCACTCAATAACATTAAAATGGCGCCCAACGTGGGGCTTTGGAGTAAATCTGAATTCTGAACCCACGAAATCACCACTCAATAACATTAAATCTGGACTTTTTTCTTTTTGTTAATGTCGGGTAAACGCTTATATACAACAGCCCTCGCGGGCGCCAAGGCGGGTTATGTCGGACTCGCACTAACTGTAACCCCCACTATGTTCCTCTTAGGGCGCATATCGGCAGGCCCACGGGAACGCTTTCCACACTTCGGCCTTTCCATTCCCTGCCAGGTCTGCCCCCGCTCCTCCTTGTGGAGCAATTCCCCTTTCCTCCAGACAAGGTGAATGAGCACACTGGACCGGCCTTACACCAAGGCCGGCCCAGTGTGGGTGTGGCCTTATCGCAGGTGACCAAGCCACGGCCACTAAGCCCCTTCGAGACAAGGATGTGTCATATCAGCCGGTTTATTTTGTAGAATCCGCAACGTTTTCGGTGACACGAGGCGTCCCGTGTCCAAGGAAGACCTAGGTCGCCTGATCTACTGTGAAGCTGTGATCAACGAGACGTTGCGTTTGTATCCGCCGGTGCCAGCCATTCTACGTTACGCAGACCACGATGTGCAGCTCAGTAAGTTTATGCGAAACGCTGATTGCTTGCCAAAAATTAGTCTGACGATCAGATCCCCGTTTGTCTTTACTTAAAAATAAACAAGGGTAAACAATAACAAAAAAATATGAAAAAAAAATAGCATTAAGCTTGCCTTTGTACAATTTTTAGTGCAATAAAGATTAAATAAAAATAAATAAATAAACAAGTCTCTGGTTCAAAAGATCGGTCAACCTTAGGAAAAATGTACTGTAGGAATGGGAAAATAAGAAACTGCATTAATTCTAACGCACCATATCATACCAAACTTAAAATAATTAGACAACTCAATCGTCTTTTTTTTGTTTTGCGTTAAGTTAGATTGATTTATTATTAGTATGTACAGTGCATATAACAGAAGAAACTATGGTTTTTGTTTTGTTTCGGTACCTACCCGCACATTGTATCTGTGCTAATGTATTATACGGATGTTAAGCAAAGACATTTAACGATTTATTTTTATGAAACTATTTTTTATTATGACCTAGAAGCTATTAACTTTGTATACACTTTTTATAGACATTACTTAGTACTTACTGTTCACATCATAAGCAGCAGGTCGAGGTCAGAACAACATAATTGTCTTATCATCACATTTTTACCTCAACAATGCTTTAATACTCCATTCTCGGAAATTGCTGTCTGCACATTAAAACTATGCTAATGTCGCTACACTAACCTAACAAGTTACAGCAACTTTTTTACATCCACTAATGTTAAATGAAATAATTTTATATTTTACTTTCAGATTATAATCGTCTTGCATATTTAAAAGTTACATAAACTAGATTCTACTCGATGTGTAAGGTCATGTCAAAGATTCAGATAATATAGTAAAAATTTCTATGATCATTATTTATACAACTTTGTGAACACATTGTCATTGTAAGATCGCTTCGTTGAGAATCCGTGCAGACCCATCCTTACAAAAGGAATTTATGTCACCCGTTATCGAATTCTTATAAAGAAAATTAGATCTAGCCAAACTAGAGTCGGACGGAAACTGCTGTCTTGTTGCTGTTAGAATTTTTTTCTATAAGTCGTTACAAAAATAACCATTTTTTTTACTACCGAAAAACAAAACCGACTTCAAATATCTCGCTCTGTATTCATTTTATAATTGATTTTCAGAGCTTCCCTAAATATCTCCGGAAAATAAGATCCAATATCAAAGAAATCCAAATAAAAAAAGAATCATCATGATGATTTTTTTTTACTCAGTCAAAAGTTCAGAGAGACAAACTTAAAAAAAAATAATACAGTCGAGTTGAGAACTTCTTCCTTTTGAAGTCGGTTAAAAAATAGGTTTTGTTGGTTGCGACTGTGTATGTATAATGTGCAGAATCCTGTACAATCCCCAAGGGGACGACGTGCGTTTTCAATATTTGGGGCAGCGGGCGCTCAAAGCACATTTGGGGCCCTGACGCCCTGCTGTACAAGCCCGAGCGATGGCTGGACCCTTCGACGGCCTCTAAGTACGCTTCTGCACTGTTAACTTTCAGCACCGGCAGGCGGGCTTGCATCGGTAAGGGCTCTCATCAGTACCTCTTTTATAATTTAAACGGGATGAATAGTTAACGCTGTTGTCTAATCAATCTAATTTTAACAGCGCTAATCTCTGCACTTAAGATCCAACATTATTTGTAGAGAAAAGGAACGAAAAGTTCTTCGCTGCTGTGGGAATCGAACCCACGTGTTCGGTATCCGCGCCCTGACTCTCTAGCCACTCTCTTTTTATAATTCAACCCACACCGGGATGAGTACTTAACGCTGTTGTAATATTACAGGCAGACGTTACGCCGTCAACTTGATCAAGACGATCCTGGTGCATTGCTTGACGGAGTACGAGTTTATTTCGGAGGCCGACAAGATGACGTTACAAATGGATGTTTTTTTGCGACCGAAAAGCGGGAACCTGTTGCAGATACGGCGACGAAGCGCTTAGCGAGGCCCATGCGAAAGTTATATTGCTCACGTTTTTCCGTTAATTTCACGGCAAGAATAGTTTCTATGCAGAGAACCATTGAGTATTTGTTTTTTTTTCTAATAATAATAAATTTTATAATAACAGTAATAAATATTTTATTAAATACATATTTACATATACAAACACCCTGACACTAGAAAAACACTATGCACATCACACAGTATTTTTACAGTAGTGGGGATCGAACCCACACCCTCTGGCGCAGGAGGCAGGTACACTACCCACTACGCCATTCGGGTCATTTCCCCGGACAAGAGTGCCAATCGCTGTGTTGTGTGAAAAAGTGCTGCCAGGGCGTTCAAAGCGTTGCGTCATAAAACTTCGTTCTCGTCCCCTCCCGCTGACCTCCCGTGACCGCTCTATGTAGCCGCTGCCCTTCGTTAGTCAAAGAGTACTTTTATATATCTGAAATCTGTCGTTAGTTTCAATTTGACCGTGACAGAATTAAGGTCGCGCGTGTTATTTTTAGATTTGCTTATCTCTAAAAATGTCGAAACAACAACGCAGTTATTAGAAACGCGAGTATTACGAGATGGTCCGGTGCTACATTTTAAGTGGTGAAAGTTTACGTGGTGCGCAAAGACTTTATGAAAGTGACACTTTACCGCGTACAGGCAATGAACTCAAGCGTACCTAATCGAAGGACGATTTTGGCAACCAACCAAAGGTTATTACATTTTGGAAAATTTACTACCCCGGCATATACAATGCTCAGACACAAATAATGTTAAAAAATACTTTGAGAAAGCGTGTCAGCTTTGTATTGAGGGAAATATCAGTAGTAAATCTTTACTTTACTTTACTATTATGACGGTCCTAAGCCCGTTCAAAGTATGAAGGAAAATTGGAATCATAAACTTACTTGTGCTATGATATGCGTGTAGTTACAAACTTTATTTGTGTGCGTGTCTCAATGTAGATAGATAGGTGTCGACATTTATGCGTCGTATACTTTTGAAACGCACTTGTGTGAGTCTTAGTTATGAATGATCGCGCGTAAAATAAACGAGTTGCGTATAAATCACGCACTTTTTGAGATATGTTCAAATGAATGTAATTAATTACTTACGAGTGATTTTAAATATTTATCATTTTTTATAATTCATTGTACATTTTTTTAAATTAAATTCTAGACACTTATGTCTAGAATTTAATTTAAAAAAAATGGATACACTTAGAAAAGCCTCCCTGTATATTGATATTTATACAAATGTATATGCTTAAAATGACTTTCAATTGGTTAATAAACAATTGCCCTCACTTTTGACATCATAATTTCGTGTATCAGTTTATTTATTATAAAAATATTTAAATTACAATCGCAAACAAAAAATTGTAGGTCTGCGCATTTGACCTCGGATGACAATAACACTTACATACATGGAAATGAAACAATAGGCAAAAAATTAATTAAAATGTACAATTCTATCTAAATAATTAACATACTTGTTAAAGATCCACGAAGGCATGTAGTGGTAGTAAAACAGGATCCTATTAATAAGACTCCGCTGTCTGTCTCCTTTCGGTACGGAACCCTAAAAATGTGCACTGTTTGGAATTTAATTTTAAAATATGGAGTGGACGTTTAAAAATGATCGTGTTGCGGTTATCGTGTAACATAGGAGCGGTTACGATTCTAAAATAATTTAAAAATCTTAATATAACCAAATGATTCGTTTACCGCTCCATCAAAAGATGACGAAAACTGAAGAGTTGAAGACAGAAAAATATGTAATCGCCCTCGCACTATTAGGTCTCCAGCACTAATAAAAGCTGAAGAAATTCGTCGAGTATGATGAAGGTATTGGCTTCGGCGTCGGGGGTCGTGGGTTCGATTCCCACACGGGACAACTATTTATATGACCCACAGATAGTGATTTCGCATCTGGGTGTTTTTCCGCGTGAAATTTATGTATGTAAAACGTCCTTACAACACAGGATAATGTTATCCTAAAGTAAGGGCAATGTTTTTGATAGAGAAGAACAAAAAAAAGCGTAAACTGTTGGCTCCTCAGACGGGATCAAGGAGAGTCTCGGTGAAAATTGTTTTAAATGAAGACTCACGGCTTCTAGCTTATCGAAGGAAAACCAGTTAACGTTTGTGCGCGCGTTTAATCGACCTGAGATTGAAGAGATGCCGCGTTTTGTGGAAGCGATACGAATCCAAAGGAAGTCGTGGAGTTGAAAATATCCGCACGGACTGTTCTAACTTCTAACACACGTTCTATCCAATTGTTGAAAATTAACAGGTATAAAGATTTTTTTTATGTGTGAAAAATTGTCAAACGAGCAGACGGTTCACCTGATGTAAGTGAATACCGCCGCCCATGGACATCTGCCACACCAGAGGGTTATTGATGCGTTGACAACCTTTTGAAAATTGGGCTCCGGCTACCTCACTCACCAGACGAAACGCGAAAGTATTTGTCATACTTTCACTTTACACTGAGATCCTAAAAGAATGTGCAATACATAATACAACCCCGCAACGTGGAGAATTTACCTGGGGATGTAGCATTCATAAAACCATATTAATGAACTATGCAGATAAAAGCAAAAAAATGAAACATTTAAAGAATATTGCAAAGGTTAACAAGGCTAAGCTGTATAACCATAAAATGTTTGACGTTTTTTTTTTTAATAAAAAAGAGGCATATGGCAGACATATGCCGTGTCATATATACTGCGTCAGATTTTTGGCGAAAAAATAATTTGCATCGAAACAAAATTAATACGACATGGTCTGCCCAAGAAGAGGAACGTTTTTTCAGTGTAGTTACGTATTTATGCGTTTTTGTTTGTTTGCCGAGATATGACTCGGTGGCGCCGTTGCTGAGCTATTGGCGTCGGCGTCGAGGGTCGTGGGTTCGGTTCCCACACGGGACAACTATTACTGTGACCCACAGACAATTGTTCCGAATCTGGGTGTTTGTTTCCCAAGGAGGGTGGACGTCAGGCAGGCGACCGGTCGTGAAAAACATAGGCAAAACCGTCTACAATATGATACACGTGTCGTGCTGACCCTACCTAAGTGGGATAAGGTCAGGAGAATGACGATGATATTTCTTTGGCGAGGTCTTAGTTTAAATTTCAACATACTGGTCACCCATTAGTCGAAATTGAACTCTAACTGTAAATTTAAAAAAAAATACGAAACTCGATCACTCTATCTAATTACTCTGTGTAACAAATTTGACAACAGACTCAAGCCCGGTTTCTGAAACACTGATCATCATAGAAGTTAACTAATCAGCGGCTTTTCGAACAATGGCGAACTTCTATACATAAATTTTAAAGTTTATTATTGTGCTAATCTCTGCACTTATGCTTCAAATGCTAAATGCAAAAAAAAGAAGGCGTTAAGATTTTCGTCGCTGTGGCTATCAGCCGTTTAGCTCAGTGGCTAGAGTGTCAGGCCGCGAATGCCGAAGACGTGGGTTCGATTCCCACAGCGGCGACAATCTTTTCGTACTTTTTCTACATGTTTTAATGTTCTATACATAATTTTATTTCAAATTAAATTGCCACGTCTTCGATAGATTATATTGTTTTCAAATTAGAATCCGCCACAAAGTAGGATTTTTAATACTTGATATTTTTTTGGACAATGATAAATTTTTGTTGTATTCAATTTCAATATTTGTAATCAAATTTTGATATATCAAATTTTTTTTCGATATATCGAGTACGATATTGATATTTTTATAAATATCGATATATCGATATTTATTCACATTCCACATCCCTAAACGTCTATCAATGTGTCAAACGCCTACCTTACTATAAAGTACATACAACAAAGTACATAGTTTCAGTACTGCCATAACATTTATGCTATTACACATCAAGATTACACTCGAGCAACCTGAGTTCGATCCCCGGTGCCGGCACCAATGAAGTCTTTAACTTTAAGTGCTGACTTATCACGTGCTCCGCTGTGAAAGAAAACATCGTAAGGAAACCTGCATATTTTCGAAATAATAACAAAAAAAATATTTTTCGAAGATATGTGAAGTCCGCCAATCCGCAGTGGGGCCGCGTGGTGGACTATGCCCTGATGCCCTCTGTATAGAGGAGGCCTTTGCCCAGCAGTGAAACTGAATAAAATACACTATTATAATATGCAAAAGCTATAGCTTTCTATTCAGACAAACTCATAGGCACATAACACTCGATGTAACGATTATATATCTACCATATTTAAGGATAAAAAGTTTTAAATGGTAACACTAAAGTAATAAATATTAATCATTTCAATCAATTAAGTATCCTAAGTAATTTTTTTTTATTTCCGGCATTAAATGTTTTAAATGATAACTTGATGAAATGTAGATAATTTTTTTAATATTCTTGGTTTAAGTGTCTTTTCTAGACGCTTTAATATTAGTCAGATAAGTTTTCGCCATTCTAGTTTCATTTGAGTTGCCAAAAGAATGGTTAAACTCTCTGAATTGATCGGAGTGATCTTCTTAATGATCAGAATTCCGTAAAATCCAGAGGCTAGGGTTTGCGAGGGAGTGTGATACTTTTTTTACATATAACTCCAAGATATAAAATGTTCTCACAAGTTTAGCAAAACCTGAACACGATATCCTATCATTATCATCATTGCCCCAGTTAGCATCTACGTAAATTTCAATATTAACACTATTGCCTTCGCTACATTTCCACTCGCTGGTTTTTTAACAATCACCCATGAATTGTTGCTTGCAAAACTCTTCAGGTCTTCATCTTAGGATCTTCTCAGGTTTTTGTAGCGTTACTGTTAATGTCAGTTCATCGCTGAAAGATTCATTACACCCTTCTGTGCATATAAATCCATATCTTGTTTTAAAGGATATTAGTAAATAGTGCAATTCTCTGCACTTACGATGAAATTTTTAAAAGAATGGAAAGATATTCGCCGCTGCGAAGATTTGCACGTGCGTACTGCGGGATATGTGCCTAACGCTCTAACCACTAAGTTAATAGGCCTATCTTCGTACTGACGAAAATCTCAAAGTACGTTTTTTATTACGATTTTAAGCAAAGTTTGGCGTTATCTAGTACTTCTTTTACCGCAGTCTACCACTTTTTACCCGACTGCACCAGAAGGAGGGTTATGTTTTTCGAGAGTATGTATGTATATTTAATTGTTTGGCACGCTCTTCAGCCTGAACGGCTTGATGGAATTTAGCTTGAGAGGTGTCGTTGATTCGTATTTGACACGGTGTATTTCAAAATAAAAAAATACACAGAAACGCAGTCGGGATTTTTAGTTTTTTAAATTATATTCCACTTGTTCATTCACTAGGTTAAAGTTTAAAACAAACAATCGTTTTTGTACCAAAAACTTGGTAATTAAAAAACTCACTAAGCATTATATTTGCATTCTGGAAAGATCGTAATTATTTCGTAATAACAATGCTCATCATGTATGCAAAAAAGCATACACGAACAAAACAAAACAAGTATGTATTTTCACAACTTGAAAGGGTATATAAAAATAAATTGTCTGCTTATATTTTTCATACATTTTAAAGCTTGGATAACTGGCGTTTCTTATTTTATGTGTTCGTTTGGACGGATCTCTTGTACAAATGGTCTAACGATATATTATTAATATATTTTTAAATAGCCTGAAAATGTTTAAACGATATTTCGTTAGTCGTAGTAGTGACTTAATAATCACTTTTTTTTATACATTGCCTTTACTTAAGGATAATATTATCCTGTGTTGTAAATGACGTTTTACAAACTTAAATTTCACGCAGACAAACACCCAGATGCGAAACAACTTTCTGTGGGTCACACGAATAGTTGTCTCGTGTAGGAATCGAACCCACGACCCCTGACGCCGAAGCCAATACTTCGGCAACAGCGCCACGGATTCATCAAACCTAATTGTAACAATTTTTTTCAGCTACCTTCGTTGATTTTGCTGGCGGTCCTGCTGGTTGCCCTGGTGTGTTTGCACCTTTATCAGAGGCTAGTCACCCGACGAGAGCGTAGAATGTTAGCGCAGTTGCCCACGTGGACCGTTCTACCCTTCGTCGGCAACGCGTACGAACTCTTCAGGAACAGAAACAGTGATATTTTATCTATTTTATTTTATTTACCTGAGGCGTTACAGATACTAGTAAGATTCAAGACTTTCAACTCGTACAGTGTTTGAAACTCGACGCAATCAAAAAAGTACAATATCAAAAAGTAAGAGTAGGATGGTTAGATCAAGCGATAACTATACATGCAGTCGCTTCATTGTAACCGAAGATTTAGTGACCAGTCTTGGGATAGCTCTATATCTAAAAATGTACTGCCGTAGACATGTTATGATGATAATGAAAAAGTAGACAGAGGCCCGGTTTCTGAAATTAAGAAGATTCTGATCATTTGAGAAGATAATCAGAGAGTTTAAAAATCGTTTTGGCAACTCAAACAACATTTGAAAAGTCTTTTTTTTGACAGCTGATTAGTTAACTTCTACGATGATTAGTGTTTCAGAAACTGGGCGTCATTTTTCTTACTATAAATTCAAGAATATGGCTTTCGGAATGAAAAATAAACCGCCACGTTTTGCGAATAATTCCCAATGTGAAATGTTTCTGTTTTATTAATATCTCTTGTTCGCTTGCAGACATTTTACAGATTTTCCTTGAAATCTCCTCTATAACAGAAGCGACAAACTTACCGTTTGTGATATCGGCCGGTAACAAATACTTCGCAAGTGAGTATACATGTGTATTATTCAAACTCGTCAACACTCTTATTTGGACGAGTTTTCACTCTTTAATTTTGGAATAAATCATAATATATGATAGTACACAGATATGGCAACTTGATTCACAAAACTTCCACGGTGGTAGAGCCACGTCTGCCCATTCGTGCAACAGCCCGAATGGGCAGACTCGTCCGGGTAAGTACCACGACCTCACAGTAGACCGGCGTAAAGTGGAAGTATGACAAATACTTTCGCGTTTCGTCTGTTGAGTGAGGTAGCTGGAGCCCAATTTCCACAAGGTTGCCAATGCATAGATCTAGAACCCTCGGGTGTAGCGGATGTCCATGGGCGGCGGTATTCACATAACCATGTCCCGTAACCATGAACGTTGTAAGCGGTTCGAAACATCGGTGATTGAAACTAAAAATAAACTCGACAAATTCGTGAACATAGTTTCATTTCGTTAATTTTCCTTTTTCAGTGTTATCAGACCCAGAAGAAGTGCGTATTGTGGCAAGTACGAATTTAGAGAAATCGTATCTTTATGATTTCGCAAAAAGCCTGGTAGGCCACGGACTCGTAACCGCGCCCGGTAAGAAATCAAAACGATATTTTTTACCCGTATTCAAAAATGGAGGAGGTTTTCAATTCGACTTTATTTCTTTTTATGTTTGTTACCTCAGAACTTTCCACTGAGTGGACGCACTTCGATGATTCCCTTTTCATATGAAAGTTGGCGCTTCCCATGCGGTCCCATATTAATTTCATTGGTATTGGATCGCGAGCTGCAGAGATGCTTAGGGAACTCCTGAAAATTTGTACTGAATAAAATGAATACGGAGCGAGATATTAGAAGTTGGTTTTGTTTTCGTAAATAAAAATATGGACTATACATATTGGGTGACAATATATATTGTATTGGGTAAGATACGTATTCGGCCGTTGGGTAGGAGTTTTTAAAAGGCGATTTTGTCCTTTACAATATTTAATAGCCAAGAAATACAAAGTATACTTAAAATTAACTTATACTAAATGGAACGACCTCCCGCTACGGCGATTGAGCGAGATCAGTTGGTCGATACAGGTTTGATTGTCCCACGATACCTGAATTTACACCGTCAGCACTTTCACGGGAATAACGTACAATGCATCGCATAATTCATGTGAACTTTCGTAATCACTGGGCACTTCGCTGTAGGTCGATTTCGGTATGTGTGTACGGGGTACTTAGGTATATGTGAATGTGCATAGGTAACAGGTAACACAATACGCCTGGACAAATTTGAACTTTGATGCACTTTCCTCGTATGTTTAATAAAATTAATTTTACAAGAAGAGTAGGTGTATATGGAACTAAAGAAACGAGAATCACTAAACTGAACATTTTTTCAGGTATAATATGGAAGCATAACATAAAGAAGTTTGGCGGCGCTTTCAGAGCGAGCATGATAGAGTCGTTTCAGGAGACATTCAACAACCACTCGCGGAGGTTGGTCGAAAGCCTCAAAGCTGAGTGTAACGGTGCTCCCTTAGACATTCAGCACAAGTATCTCGCTAAAACAACGTTTAGAGCGGTCTGCGGTAAGTTCTTCGTTTCGGATATATTTCAAAGCATTTCGGAACTTTTCGTCATGTATAGTGCTAATGTTACATTCAATATGGCCAAGATGTGTTCACGCACAAGCTGCAGACTTCTTCAACCGTCGATGCTTCACAACATATGTGTGTTTTTTTTGTTTTAATAATGAGTATCTGTATTGTATATAATGTGTATTTCTTATTACGATGAATAAATTATTTCATTTGTGACTTATCTTCTTCGGTGGCTTCAAAATGTTTTAATAGAAGCACGATTGAACATAATAAATAGTCAAGGCGATACATACTTAACTATCCGTACTGTTTCAGAAACAACCCTTGGGGTGATTTCTTCCGAGGATTTGATCGATGAGAAGTTCTTCCAAGCTTTTATCCGAATAACGGAGTTGATGGCAGTTCGGCTCATGAACATTTTACTGCACTCGGACACTGTGTATCGCCTGACATCATCATACAAAGAATTCGACTCTTGTATCAGGACTGTCAATAACGTTGTGGAAACGGTACGCGAATTCGCCTTTTCCCAATTAAGAACATCTTCGTGTTTAAATTTTTCAGCTGACAAATGAGTGCACATTAGCGCGAGTAGTGGAGAACCAATGTAGCGTCTATTTTAAAGCGGCTTCAATCGCCACGTAAGCTTATTTCTAAGTAGACGATTTGAAAATTGCGACTGGTGTTAAAAGATAATTTAATTATAAAGAATTTAAAATGACAATTAAAAAGAGAATTAATGTTCCGGACATCTAATAAAGCCTATGAAATGCTAGGTTTGTTTAACGGAAACAACGTTGAGTTTTAAAAACTATTACCATTAGTATTAGATATGGTTTTAGACATTCGACTTAGTTTTATGCAGTAGTAAATTTTTTGTCGAATTTATTTTTTATTTCAAAGTTGTAAAGCAATCAGGCGGTTCACCTAATGTTAAGTGAACCCGCCGCCGGCAGATGCGTTGGCAACCTTTAAAATTTGGGCCCCCCGTCACCTCGCTCACCAGACGAAACGCGAAAATATAACACTTCTATAACACTTCACGCCAGTCTTCTGTGAGATCGTGGTATCTCCCCGTACGGACCTGCCCGTATGTGCAACAGCGAAGACTGTTGCCTGATCACAGCTTCTATTATAAACTTCCTTCCATTTGGCTCATGAGTTGGTTCCATTTGTACACGTTTTTGTGGAGGAGCGGGCAAACGAGCTAGCTAGCTGATAGTAAATGATCACCGGTGTTCACAGATTTTCACAACGTCGAATGGTGATGTTTTGTGAAGCGAGAACTGAAAACTGATATCGTCACAATACTTACAGATCTTCCTCTGCTTCTCTTGTTGTTATTTAATGTAATGTAATGTATTTTAAATATTGATGATATGAATTATGTTATAGTTTTTGCATATACTAATGAACATAAATTTGTTTCAGGTTATATTTCAAAAGGTATGCGACATGGAAAGTAAAACAATATCGAACAAGAAAGTACAAAAAGGTGTATGTACGTACTCATCTACATTTGCATTGAAAGATAATTTAGTTTAGCATTAGCAACGTTCATTTTTACAAACACGACCATTTTCATTTCGGTTCCACAATTGGCCGCATATGGTATGCTTAGGGATGAAATAAGTCTCCAAAGGGAGTAAATTGGTAGATTTAATTTGCATGTAAATCCCGTTCCTCGTGCGAGTGCACGCTGAAGAAGCCTTGGGCAAAAGCTTAGCAAGAACATCATACAAATACATTTATTTTTTTTAAAAGTCACGATATCTGTTAAAAATTATATTATATAAGGTATAATATAATTAATATGACATATTCCTGTCTAACCGTAGACTGCAGAAAGTCTGCCGCTTTGTTCCTCGATGTTCTGTTGGAGCTGATGGAAACGGATTCCACTTTGACTGAAGAGCAGATCAAACAAGAAGTGACCACGATTTTGCTAGCGGGCCATGAGACCACTGCGTCTGCTCTCAATTTCATATTCCTCATGCTTGGGTGTAATCTTGATGTTCAGCGCAAGTTACACGAAGAGTAAGTATTGAATTTTGTTATTATCATCTTTGTTGTCTCATGTAGGTCATGGGTAGGTTCCAGTCAGTTTCTATAAGCAAAGAAAAAAGCAGCAAAGCGAAAACCAGGTTCAGTAACATTATTTATAAAAACGGCAAAAAAATACATGTTTGTTGTATGGAAGATATATTTTTACCTAATATAGTTTTTATTTACACCGCTTAAATATATTTTTTATTCTGTTTTTTTGTTATAGCGGCAACAGAAATACATCATCTGTGAAAATTTCAACTAACTAACTATCACGGTTCATGAGATAAAGCCAGAGAGATTTAGTATTACGGTCCCGTTTTACCCTTTGGGTGCGGAACCCTAAAACCGATTTTACGGGATGTGCTAGGATATATTTTTACTTAAATCGTGACCCCTTTGACGATAAAAACCCGCAACACTTGTTTTTGTCACTTTCACTGGCGATCTGACAGCTTCTTTTTAACCGACTTCAAAAAAGAAGGAGGTTTCTCAATTTGACCATATACATTTTTTTTTTTTATGTGTGTTCGCGGATAACTTCGTCATTTATAAACCGATTTTGATGATTCTTTTTTTGTTGGAAAGGAGATATCCCAAGTGTGGATAAGGAAGTGATAAGGAAACCCAGATCTGATGATGGCATCCAAGAGAAATCGAGGGCAATCCTCAAATGTTATAGGTGTTGTCAATGTTCTTAGTTTCCTGTTTAAAGTCGGTTTCTTTTTGTTCACAATTATTTATTTACGTGAGAGGCGTGTTATGTCAAGGCACAGCTACAAAGCACCGCCGCAGAACTAGGCTGGAACCCGCTTGCCGATGATCAGTGACAGCTTTTGCAACTGTCTATTGTCTCTATTGTACTGTGATTAAAGTAATAAATTCTAATCTATCTAATTATAGACAGGTCAATTTATCCTCAAGGATGTATATGCGCGGTTCTAAACACATCATTGTCAACAATTTTTATGGATTTGGTTTTGCAGATGCAATTAATCGTCACACATCACATAAAATTAAAAAGTAATCAAATATTTATTGATGTATTTTCTATTTATTTTACAAAATACACTCAAAGGGAGCTGTGATAGTTCATTGTAAGGGCGCTCGCCTTTAATTCAATACATTCGAGCAACCTGAGTTCGATCCCCGGAGCCGGCACCAATGAAATTTTAAATTTTAAGTCATTTATGACTTGCTCCGCGGTGAAGGAAAACATCGTGAACCTATCTGCTTATTTTCGAAATAACAAAAGAAACATTTCGAAGATATATGAAATCCGCCAATCAGCAGTGGAGCCGCGTGGTGGACTATGCCCTGATACCGTCTTTATACGAGTTGAGGAGTGCTTTTCCCTGCAGTGGGACATGTATTGGCTGTTACATTACTTAACTTTACTCAAAGTAATCTCAGCTGCAACTACTTTTTACTTTATTTTACCGAACTTTAATGAATGCTATCGACCTTCCGCAGTAGTCATAGTCAACTTCCAAACGGGTTATGCAAAATATAGAAATGTACGTTTGTTTGAAATAACAAAACACTAAAAACAGCCATGCGCGGCAGGATCCAGAACTTATTTGGCGACTCTAAACGTGCGGTCCTGAAAGAAGACCTCAATAAATTGGTCTACTGCGAAGCTGTCATTTTGGAAACGCTACGTTTGTACCCACCGGTGCCGTGCGTACTGCGTTACGTGGACCACGACCTGCAGCTCAGTAAGTTGGCGTAAGCCGCTGATGGCTCTCGCGGCTTTAATGCCCGTTCACACATTGGCGTATCTAGGGCTATTTTTCAGGGTGGGCCCGGGCCTTACTACAAACATCGAACACTGTAGAACTGTTAACCAACGCAACGGACTTTAAGGCGATTTTCAGCAATATATAGTATTCAAGTGGAAAGTTTACATTTAGTATATATGCATATTATAGTAGGGAAAATTCGAGAAATTACATTGAATATTATGTTCATTATTACATTGAATATATATATATATATATATATATATATATATATATGAACATTGCAGCCTGTGCGAAGCCGGGGCGGGAAGCGAAGTCGCTAGTTTCCTATATAAAGAAATGAATGTCTCTTCTCCCATGGTAGATCGCAACTAAATGTTAATTATCCATTGCTGAAAAGCTCTGCTTGCATCAGGCTGAATTGATCACAATTGCAGCTTGAATTAATTTAAAAAGATTTGGGGATAAATCTTGTTCGGCGTGTTCCTTAAGAACTTCACATTAAATATTATTTTCGTTTATTACGTTTTTTATAATGAAGCATTCTGCTTCTAGAAGGGTGCTATCTATTCGAAGAATGTCTTCGAAAGATAAAAGCCTTCCCATTTTCGAAATCTATATTTTAAACGCATCGATCGATTGGGCCAGAGGTGCAAGTTCGAATCTGCATGTCATGGTAATTATACATAGGTCACACTAAAAGTAACTAAAGGAACTGGTAAACAAAAAAAAAATACATAAACAATATTTAAAAACTAATTACAACATTTTAAAATGGAAGTCTTTGGCTGTAGAATGCAGTTTGTTTCACCCGACTGTCAATTATTTTTACATTGTGACGCCATTTTGAAAATCGTGTGTCTACATTAACATGGATTTAACTCGGGAAAATTTTCGTAATGTATTTTACATACTACGATTTTAAGTGTAATTAGAAAGTTCAGCAGAGCCTCGCTCGTCTTCAATCTGCTTTTGGCGATGAAGAATAGGTGCCTAGAATTTCGAATCGGTAACCCAAGATCCTGGGGTGGGCACTAGACGATACTGGGGTGGGCACGGCCCGCCCTGCACCCCCGCTATATACGCCTATGCTTCCATCTACAGACAACGAGCGTGTCGAACAAAATGATTTCATTTACAACATATTTATGAACGTATTCCCATCTACCGTTAAACGACCGCGTAGTGACAGAATGTTTGTCTACACAGCTCCTATCTGTGTGTTTTCTGGGTAGTATGAATACAATACGACTGTAGATAAAAGTTCCACTGGAGTGTCCTAACATTTTACATTTACATTATTAAGTGGCTAAGCGGTCATGTCCGTCGGCGATGATTGTGTCTATCAATGTCTGTAAATATAAATGAACGGAGTCTGTCTGTACTTGACATGCTCATTGTCTGTAGATATAAACGTATCTTAACAGGTTTTTACTAATATTTGCCTGTTTTAATTAACTTTAATGATTTCTCGCACATATACAGCGTGTCGTTACCATCACGACAATAAATGAACACACGTCTAACGCTACGAGACAATAATCATAAAAAAATATTAACGTAAAACAAAATCCATAATTAAAAAAAATATTTTTCAAACAAACTAATTAAGTAGAAAAGAAACAAAATTTCTAACATCCTATACAACTCGCGCCACAGCGTCGTATTACAAGCCTCTCCTTCTAACAGTATGTTTTGTCTCTTTTAAATTCATTCAACCCATTCATATGCTTTGTGACCTTTACAAATGAACTTTACGTTACGCTTTTATAGGTAAGGGTGTTGTAAAATTCTTTGTTTTGGAAAATTTAATAACTCTATAAATATTGATGTTCAAAGAATTTAAACGTTTAATACAACTTTAAAAAGTTATCCCCTATATGTGTGTTCATTTATTGTCGCGATGGTAACGACACGCTGTATAACACTGATAAATGAATCTTATTTTTACGGCTTTTCATTTTACCCGTCAGCCATTTGACAATAACATTAGGATAAACACATTCTCCGCAATGAAATATATCAGAATATTTTTATGTGTAATTTGCCAAGCGAACAGACGGTTCGCCTGGTGCTATGTGAATACCGCCGCCCATGGACATCTCCTACACAAGAGGATTCCTGGACCTTTGAAACTTGGGCTCTGGCTACTTCACTCACCAGGCGAAACGTGAAAGTATATTATATTTCCACTTCACTTCGATCTTCCGTGAGGTCGTGGTACTTACTTGGACGAGCCTGCCCATTCGTGTAACAGCCGAGGCTACTGAGTGGCCCTACCACCGTAAATTCATTATTTCATTATTTTTTTAAAAAACATTGCCCTTACTATTACCCATAACATTATCCTGTGTTGTAGGAACGTTTTTACAAACATAAATTTCACGTGGACAAACAGCCAGATGAGAAACAACTATCTGTGGGTCACACAAATAGTTGTCCCGTGTGGGAATCGAACCCACGACCCCCGACGCCGAAGCCAATACCTTGGCAACTGCGCCACGGAGTCATCAAAATTTGATTGTGATTACATAATATATAAAATTAATAATGTGTATAATCTATTGAATTACATTTAATTAATTCATAGAGTCCTGTACAATCCCCAAAGGGACGACCTGCGCTTTTAACATTTGGGGCAGCGGCCACTCCAAACGCGTTTGGGGTCCCGACGCCCTTTTATACAGGCCCGAGCGTTGGCTGGATCCCTCTATGACTCCTAAACAGGCTTCAGCATTTCTAAGTTTCAGTGCCGGCAAGAGAGTGTGCATCGGTAAGAGATTAACTTTAAATCTCGGATTTATGTAATATTTTGTACTCTGTAAAGAGGGTATCCATAGTTATACATAGCATAGTCTACCACGATACCCTACTGCGGATTGGCGGTCTTAAGATATTTTCGAAATATTTTTTTTTGTTTCGAAATAACTTGACTACGTGATAAGCTCTTAAAATTAACAATTTCATTGGTGATGGCAACGGGGTTCGAACTCAGGTTGCTCGAGTAAATTGAATTAAAGGCGAGCGCCCGGACACTGAGCTATCATGGCTGTGTAAATATGTATTATCTTATTTAAAGATAATTATTTTACATAGGTATACGAGCGTAATAAATTAAATTTTATGTACAATAATTCATTTTTTTATATGAGAAGGTGGAAAGCCAGCTGGCGGTTCACCTGATGTTAAATGATAACCGCCACCCGTGAAGCAACACCCGTAAATGTTTGCAACTTCCGGTTGCAGATGCGTTGCCACCTTAAACTAGGCCCCAATGGTACTACGGTGGTAGGGCCACGCAGCAGCCTCGGCTGTTGCACGTATGGGCAGGCTCGTCCGGGTAAGTACCACGAGCTCACAGACGACTGGCGTAAAGTGGAAGTATAATACTTTCGCGTTTCGTCTGGTGAGTGAGGTGGCCGGAGCCCAATTTTCCAACAGGCTGTCAACACATCTGGAGCCCTCGGGTGTGGCAGATGTCCATGGGCGGCGGTATTCACTTAACATCAGGTGAACCATCTGCTCGTTTGGCAACTTTTAACATAAAAAAATGTGGCGTCAATTTTCATGCAAACGTTACAGCTTAAACATCATGAAGACAATGCTCGTACACTGTTTGCGAGAGTTTGAATTCGCTTCGGAGGCTCATAATATGACGTTACAGTTCGACGTGTTGCTACGGCCGAAGAGCGGTAACCTGTTGCAAATATTCCCGAGACAAAGTACATAATCGTTTGTTTGACGTTTTCTACGTAAATTTAGTGTACTCTACTTTTTTATTTCATGAGCTTGGATATTTGTGAATAAATGTTAAATTTTCTCTAGTAAAAAAGAAAAATGAATTGCTTTTTAAATATTAAATACACTGTGATATTTATACCATCTTGATATTGATTGAGGTTATTGTTATCCATAATATTTGATGACTCCGTGGCGCAGCTGCCAAGGTATTGGCTTCGGCGTTAGGGGTGGTGGGTTCGAACAACTATTTGTGTGTCCCACAGGTAGTTTTTCGCATCTGAGTGTTTGTCTGTCGTAAAAACATTAAGTTCCAAATTTTTTTTACCAAAAAGTTTTCCATAAGTATCGTTAGTGTCACACCAGTCATCCTATATAACAACCCTACCGAAAGACCTTAAAACAAAAATAATTTACATTAAATTAAGTAATGTTTTAAACAATGGTAAAGACATTAATTTTAAACGTTATTATTGGATAATATGTAATTTAAAAAACATTGAATGTTGTAAATATTGGATAAATTATCAACCGTTTAATAGACTATTGTCAATAACTACTACAAAAATAAACATGATTAATTAATACATTTCATTATTTTGCACTCAATATGCAAGTCACAATACAATAATTGTAGAAATAATACATTCTTGCCGTGATCGTAATCGCGGATCAATGCGAATTTCATAATACAATATAGCAATTTGCATAAACATACATACATAAATAATTGACGTCATAATGTGAATATAGAACCGTATGATGAACAAAAAGTTTGGCCAATAGTTATAACAGGAATTATTATTTAAATTTATTTATAGTGCTAATCTCTGCACTTAAGATTAAACATTAAAACTTGTAGAAAAAGTAAGAAAAGATTGTCTCCGCTGTGGGAATCGAGCCCGTGTCTTCGGCAATCGCGGCCTGACGCTTTAGCCACCAAGCTAAACGGCTGATTGCCACACCAACGAAAATCTTAACGTCTTTTATCTACATTGTTATTTATCATTTGAAGCAATGCTTGGCGCATTCATTGTTATATCCTTTCCAGCACACAAACAACTTCGAATATCGTTTTACAACGAGAAAGGAATTATAATATTAACTTAAAGTTATTCTTTTTGTAGCTGTTATTTATTTTATGTTAATACAATGAAAGGCTTATAATTAAATCATATTCTTAAGAAAGAACCTTAATAGTGTGATAGTAACGGATAATTCCAAATTCGACAGACCATACTATTAAATTACATTAATTTTACAGAAAATAGAAATATACAATTTTGTAATTATATACACAAAAGTATTTAAGTATTAAATTAGCTGGAGCCAGGGGACTTGCAAGTGCAGAACAAGATTCATTTCCACACATCCTTGTACTTAGAATGGACTATTCGTAATTTAAAAATATAAGTTCGAATGAATTTTTAATAAAAAGATATCTAATGAAACATTAAAAATTCATATTGTTACTATAATTTTACGTTTCAACGCGTCCGTATTGATACATACATCAAATAAGTTACATTGTGAATAGTACGAAATTTTATTTAGTCTTTCTCGATCGCACGCATATCAAATGGCCGCTCGCTGGCCGTAAAGATATATCCACTCTCAACGCCAAGTTCTCCGCTTCAGACGTAAACTCAAATTCTCTCACGCAATGCACAATGATGATTTTCATCAAAGACAGTGCGTATCGTTTTCCTGCAAAATTAAAATCAATTACACGCTAGGTGAAAATTTCATAGCATTATTGAATATTTTTTATAAAAGAAGAATGCAACCGAGCGGGCGATACACCTGATATTGATTGACAACCGCCGCCCATGGGTATTTGCAACACCCGTAGGATTGTAGATGCGTTGCCGCCTTTAATAAAGGTGACCCCAGCTACCTCACTCACCAGAAGATACGCAGAACTATAACTCTTCCATTTCACGCCGGTCTTCTGTGAGGTCGGCGTCCCCGAATGGACCTGCCCATAGCGAAGACTGTGACGTGCTCCAAATACAGTTGAATGGACAAGCCATGATACACGTGAAGACGTCACTGAGCCATTAAAGCTTTCATCTGTATACGTTAAGCCAGTTTAGCCAGTTGAGCCAGTTGTACCGATGCAAGCCCGCCTGCCGATGCTGAAGTTGAGTATGGGCAGTGCTGGTTCGTTGTTCGGGTGTAGCCAGCGCTCGGGCCGGTAGCAGAGCGCGTCGCTCCACAGACGCCGCGAACGGCCCAGCCCCCACAAGTTCAGGCAGCAGGTCGCCCCCCTCGGCACCGTGTACGACCCTGTTCGTTCACTGCTTAGGTAACCATACCTACTTCGCAGCAGAATAAGTTCCGCTTATCTTTACTATTCTATTTATCCTTACTAATAATATTATAAAGGCGAAAGTTTGTATGTATGGATGGATGTTTGTTACACTTTCACGTAATTACTACTGCATGGATTTTAATGAAACTTTACAATAATATAGCTTATGCATCAGAATAAGACATAGGCTATAATTTATATACATATTTAATGTATATCTGTCTTTCTGTCTGAATGTTACTCGTTCAGCCTATTCTACGCAGACGTAGTCGCGGGCAGCAGCTAGTGCACCAATAAAGAGAAATATATTATATAAGGGTAAGTTTTGATTTTAAATAAAAAAATTATGTAAAACCAAAACCTAACCTAAATAAATAAAATAAAAAGAAATAAAAAACTCTATTTAAAATAAAACCTAATCTAAACCGCCAATTCCGTAGCTGAGGTGGCGTTAATACGTAAGTATGTATGTACAAAAGTTCTTTTTTACGCCTGCGGAACTCAAGCGTGGCAATTGGCGTATAACCTCTAAGTCTCTGGTTCAAACTCGATTTAAATCCGTTCGCCAGTTTCGGTGTTGTCGGGAACAGGAACAACAATTTATACATTCCGACTTAAAGCACTTGACAAATTATATCATGTGAAATTTTTTTCAGTCAAGAGAAAATTATTTAAAACATGATAAAAGTATCACGTTTTAAACAATTCTCTTTTGAATTAATAGATTCAAGCTGGCGAAAACTATTGTAAAATTCTGTGTAGGATTAAACTTGTACCATAAAAGGTTCGTCAACTAGATTGCAAACAGGTCCTTAATAGTAAAAATCGGGTACGCTATAATCTTAATCAGTGTCTCACCGAGGTCCAAATCGTGGTCAGCGGAGCGCAATACCCCGGGGACCGGTGGCAACAGTCTCATCGTCTCTAAGATCACTGCCTCGCAGTATTTAAGACGAGGTAGGTCCTCCTTCAAAACGGCGCGTTTCCTTTCGCCGAATACCTCTTTCACCCTACACAAAACATAATTGAAGAGACTTAGTTCTTTCTCCTGTCCTTGTCCCACACTAGGTGGAGTCATCCTTCCCACTTTCTTCTATCGATTCACAATACTCTCTTCTTTCACAGATAGTATGAAGTGACATGCAGCCCGTCTTAACATTACTATATCAATTGAGGATGTGAAATAAAAAAATGTGTGCACTGCGTAGCCTCGTCTTTTTTATGACGTTATTTTTCAAAAAATAATTTACTATATGCAACTTTACAGAAATAGGTTAAATAAAGTTAAATTAGATAAAGTTATCATAGACATAAATACAAATTCTACAAATATTTCATTTTAGCTTTGTATAATATTTAGTTTCTTATTTTATTTGTATTAGTTTCTTATTTGTAATACATAGGTGGCGTAGTAATAAATTAAAACACACTAGGGTTTGACCGTTGTAATTAGTATGTTGTTGCGCAAAAATTGTTGGATTAAAAAACTTGCAACGGATGTTTATTAATAAACCTAAAAAATGTGTGCGTGTACTAGCGTACACTCGTAAGAAGGCAGACATTCGACTCGCGCGCGAGTGTTGTGAGTGAAGTTTTTTTGGAAAACCGAACTTGCGGACGTTGGATCGACGTCGCAACCGCAAGTTCCAGGAGCCGATCGAGGTTTCGAAGAGCATCATCGGTCAGCTTCAGATTGTGTCTTCGGTGGAAGGCGCAGTCAGGTCACGGTGGGCGGTGCCTGCCTTTGGAGAAGAGGAAGTCGACACAGTGTCGTGCTCTGAAGTATTAGAGCTAGCACTGTCATTACTACAAAGATTATTATTGAATTTCATTAATTGTAATAGAATTATTACTATCATTGATGTCGTTATTATATATTTGTGTTAGTAATGGCTTATGGTAACTGAAATACGAAATATATTGTTTACATTTTAGAATTAGAATTAAAATAAACCCTTTGATTTTGCTGATCACTTTAATATAACATATATATATATATATATTGCTATGAACACACAAAGGAACTAACGCCATCTAGCGTCAACTATTAAAACAACTAAAGAATAAAGACGACATAAAACCCCCTATTCAACACTAGATGGCGTTAGAGGAACATTTTAAGATAAAAAAAAGATGGCGCGTAACGGAAAAATGTTACACTAAATTTTTTTCCAACCCCGATAAAGAAGTTTCACTTCAAAAACCGGTCAAGTGTGAGTCGAACTCTTATGCCGAGGGTTCCGTACATACCTATTATACCACCATAATAAAACTGGTAAATAATCACAACCGATTTGCTCAGGAACAGGTAGCAAGTTATAAATTTCAACTTGTTAGGTCCATCCGTTCCTGAGAAAATCGGTGGTGACCCACGGACAGACAGACAGACAAGAGAGTGATCTAATAATTTTAAGGTATTAAAAGGTAAAAAAGGAACCGCTTTTTTACCTTTTAATACCTTAAAAGGTAAAAAAGGAACTGTCTCTGTACCCAGAACCCTAAAAAACGAGTGTGCTTTAGACCACTTTAATCTGTATCTCATATCTGTAATACAATTTTTAAAATTTAAATTTATTCACGTTAAACATAGAATAGAAGTATATAAAGTTCAATAACGAAATGAAATCAAGAAATAATCAAGAAATCACCGTTCGCGTAACATTACACTTTTCGTAACGCTCTCGTCACGCATTCACCAGCTCACTCCCCCAAGTCAAGAGTGCGTAAAGAAGTTCTTTTAAAGAAGCTCTACAAAAGTCTTTTAAGTTTAGATTTTTCTCGAGCCTTTTTTCGAATCTTATAAATACAATAAAGGTTCTTCATGCTTACTCACTCCTCGTACAGCGTTCGTTGCACGTCCGGCCTGCACCCGAGCATGAGGAACACGAAGTTGACAGCCGTCGTTACCGTCTCCTGGCCCGCCAATATTATTGTGTTCACCTCGGCCTGTATTTGGCTGTCCGTCAAGGCGTCGTCCGTAGAGCTCATATCCAAGAGAGTGTCCAGGAACGATCTGAACGGTTCGTCACCTGCATCTCATTAGGAATGTTTTATTGGATTTTTTTTAATTATCTCATTCAACATTAAAATATGTAGAAAAAGTGCGAAAAGATTGTCGCCGCTGTGGGAATCGAACCCACGTCTTCGGCATTCGCGGCCTGATGCTCTAGACACTGAGCTAAACGGCTGATTGCCACACCGACGAAAATCTTAACGTATTCTTCTCCATTGTTTTCTTAGCATTTGAAGCAATGCTTGGCGCCATCTATTGTTATATCCTTAAAATTTACACGGTAAATATTGATGTTTAAAGAATGTAAAAGTTTAATACAATTTTTAAAAGTTATCCTCTATATGTGTGTTCATTTACTGTCGCGGTTGTAAAGACACGCTGTATATTATCGTTTCAGCTTACCTATGCCTGAAATGATGGTAACTTACCGACATGTCTTTTTTATAAGCAACGGTTAGTTTTACTCATGTAACATGACTGTCCAACAGTAAAATCGAGTCATGTCGATTACGGTTTTCGTTAGGTATATATTATAAGTGTCAGTAACTATGCATGACCATTTTTTTTGTTTTCTGTATTAAACTGTAGCAAACGAACAAATTGTTTTCCATTTACCTGCATCCGTTGTTTTCTGAGCAATTGTTGTTTTCTCTACTTCCAATTCATTTCTTCTAATTTTCAGAATCTGTAATTCCGTTTAACATACGTATATATAGGTACATAACACGGTTTTCATTATAGGATATGCAAAAAGAAGATTGTATTATGTATATAAAAGAAGTACAGAAAAAAGAGGCCTATATTAGAAATTTAATTTTTTTTATAGTGCTAATCTCTGCACTTAAAATGGACACAATGGAATGAAATATGTAGAAAAAGTACGAAAAGATTCTCGCCGCTGTGGGAATTGAACCCACATCTTCTGGACGTCTTCTTACTGAAAATATTGTGTGGTGAATATAGTGATTTTCTAGTGTCTGGGTGTTTTTGTGTACCCTGACATACGGAATAAAGTACATGGGGCCATTACTAAGTTTTTGTATGTATAACATATGTATATTATCATTACATAATTATACTTAAACATTCATTAATACTCACAGCTTCGGACGCTTCGTGTATCACGCGAACGCATCGCTTCATCTCCCTGTAAGCGGGCGTCAAGCTGTAAATCCATTCGGGATGCAGAAATATATTAAGGGATCTATCAAAAATTAGCTCCAGTAGGCGCTGCGACGCATTATAATAGTTTTCAGTTACGGTATTCTCTACTTTCTCGGACTTGCTGAGCGCTGTCTCTGAAAATTTTAATCACAACATAGTATAAAACAAATACGTCCCGCTGTCTGTCTGTCTGTCCCTTTGTATGCTTAGGTCTTTAAAACGACGCAACGGATCCTGATGCGGGTTTTTTTACTAGATAGAGTGATTCAAGAGGAATGTTTATACGTATAATACATTGCACCCGTGCGACAATGGGGCGGGTCGCTAGTAAGATATAAAGGAAAACTCTGACTGAAGGAAAACAAACTACACGAATTAAATAAAATTCGACTCGTAATATTTTTTATAGTGGTAGGGTGACGCAAGTCTTCTCTGTTGCACAAATAGGCAGGTCCGTCCGGGGAAGACGACCTCCCAGGGGCCGGCGTGAATTGGAAGAGTTACACATCTGAGTTTCGTCTGGTGAGGTGAGATAACCGGGGAACACTTTATCGTTCGGCAGCGGTGAACGGCGTTCTCTTAGCGGCGAAAAACTTTTCGTCCTTTTTACTAAAACTACAGAGATTGGTTCGGTACAAATTGAAGCAATATATACTCACGAAAAATCGCCTCCAGTGCTATGAAAGCCAAGTATTTGTGCGTCATATCGAACGGTTCCTTGTTCGACTCTCCCTCCAAGAGTTTCGCCAACTTCTCGGCTCGTTCGTTGAAAATGGGAAGGAATCCGTCTACCATCACACCCTTGAACGTGCCTGAGATCTTTTTGACGTTACTCCTCCAGACGCACCCTGCAAATTAAAGAATGGACGATAGAGACGGGATGTTAACATGTTAACAAATGCCGAATTTCCATGCTACCACCTACCCAATGTAACCACATAGACGAGATGAAATGGGAAGGTAGGGAAAGGAAAAAATAAGAAAGAAAATTCTTCCATGTTACTGCCAGTCTCCAATGAAGTTATGGTGTTGTTCGGATTGACCACGGTATGATACAAACGTTGGGCTCATCAGGACTGTATAGGCCTCAGCTTTTTTATGAGAGAAGGTGGCAAGTGAGCTAGCACTTCACCTGATGATAAGTGATTTTTTTTTTCTTTTTAAAACGTTGACCTTGCTTTAGGATAACATTACTTTGTGTTGTAATGACGTTGTACAAACATAATTTCACGCGGACAAACACCCAGATGCGAACAACTATCTGCAGGTCGCACAAATAGTTGTCCCGTGTGGGGATCGAACCCACGACCCCCGACGCCGAAGCCGATACCTTGGCGACTGCGCCACGGAGTCATCTAAGCCTCGGTTGCCACATTAAAAACTAGACGAAACGCAGAAGTGTAACACTTCCGCTTCTGTCACTTCTTCGTTAGGGTCTGCCCCTTCGTGCACCAGCAAACACTGTTTTACACCTTTGACATCATCATACTCTCTTCTTTATGTCTCATTAGCAAATATTCTTTTCACGATGGTTTTTTTTATTTTTGGTGTACAATAAAGTATAAATAAATAAATACTCTCCGTTGATCGACCCGCCTTCCGCCACAACGCTAACATACTAATAACGAATACTCGTTTGCATCATTCCACCTGGTGCTGTGAGGAGTCCGTCCCTCAGCCACATATGTGCGAACTTGTAGTAATAGGGCTTCTCTATGAAGGCGTTCGCCACGATTTTTGTTTCTTCAAGATCTGCCAGAACTGGGAACAGATGTTTCTTTATTGCACTTATCCACACTGTGGTCAAGTCGTCCTTAAGTAACTGTAAGTTATCCATACTAATAATATAAATGCGAAAGTAACTCTGTCTGTCTCGCTTTCACGCTAAAACTACTGAACCGATTTAAATGAAATTTGGTACAGATAGTCTAGAGCCTAAGGAAGGACATTTTTAATTGGAAAAAAGAGTTGTAAAGGGTTGAAAATATCTTTCTTTAAAAAAATATAGTTTTAAGAGAAATATATTTACTTAAGGGCTTCAGCGCGAGCGAAGCCGCGGGCGAAAAGCTAGTAATTTAAAAAAAAATATGGTCTATTGTCATCACATATACTGTAATTCATAAATATAATTAGCTGGTACATAAATAAAAATGTAACTTACTGCAAAGGGAGAACATTAGCTAACGCCAAGTACTATTAAAAATTCTATTAAAATAAAGTAGATAAGACATCGAGGTTTTCGCGCGGTGAGATTTTTGTTTCATTATTCAGAAAAATCATAGAATGTAAATTGTATTGAGACAAATATAAAAACCTGATTTTAGGGTTCGGTACCCAAACGGAAAAACAGGACCCTATTACTAAGACTACGCTGTCTGTCTGTTGGTCTGTATGTGTGTCACCAAGCTGTATCTCATGAACCGTTATAGTTAGACAGTTGAAATTTTCACAGAAATGATGTATTTCTGTTGCCGCTATAACAATAAAAAAAAGAATTAATAAATATTCAAGTGTGGCTCCCATACAACATACATTATATTTTTTCCATTTTTATAGATACTGGTACGGAGCCCTTCGTGCACGAGTCCAACTCACACTTGGCCAGTTTTTTATACAATCCACATCTATTTTGTAACAATAGTGATCGAAATTTGCTCTATATAAGCAGTTATCACTCATATTGATTGTTGGTACTCCACCAATCTTTTGACTCTAGTGTGATAATGGTATACAAATAGTATGGTAGTATTAATGATAAATAAACTCACCTAAGAAACACCTCTGGCCAACCCATACTACGAACGGTTTACCAGTCTTCTCTGTGATCTGCGATATTTTGTCTAAATGGCGCAGTGCCCCTAAGAAATGCGATTAACGAATATAATTGATAAATTTTTCTCTCCTGCCCACCTAAGTGGGCTCGTCATAACGTTTGAATCATTTTGTGAACGGTATCAACCAGGTGTTTTTGGCGGCAAAATGTGAATCACTTTTGGGGCCGTCCATTAATCACGTCATGTTTTTTTTTACATTTTTTAACCCCCTTCCCATTGGTGAAACATGGTGAGGTTTTTGAGACAAAAAAATCACGTGTACATTTTAGTACCTACAAAGAATCTTAAAATGTTTAGAATATCATCTTTTAGCCAAAATAAGGGAATAACTGAGTGAATAAAATAACAGAGTGAACTGAACATTTCATATTTTTCATATTGTCTGGTGATTAAGTGGTGAGGACCAAGAACCTCTTTTATAAAATGGTAATTCCTGCAGCCCTAATAGTATTTTAATTTTCCATGGGCGGTGGTATTTATATGTCATCACGAGAATCGCCTGCGCGTTTGTCAGCTTCTCCCAAAAAAGCATTTTAAAAAATGATGTTACGTTCTCCGTCGCCGATGAATCTGTGCATGTTGCCGATAAAAGGTAGGCAGGAGTAGGTGGGCAAGTGCGCGAGCATCCTTCGATCGCGTCTGTTGAGAAGCCGCATGTAAATGTGCAGACATGTTAGGGCGGCAACAAGTAGCGCCGAACAAAGCATCTGTGTAAGAGAGGTAAATTAAGTACCAGTTGGAAACCGATCAATCATACTTGGTGAATATAGAACAATCTAGAAATCCTATTGGAATACACAGATTCCACCTTTTAGGGGAAACAGTAATAGATCTCATACATCGATCTTAATACACCGTGGTCACTACATTTTTTTTAATGTGAAAAGTTGCCAAACGAGTAGACGGTTCACCTGATGTTAAGTGAATACCGCCGCCCATGGACATCTGCTACTCTCGAGGGTTCCAGATGTGTTGACAACCTTTTGGAAATTGGGCTCCGGCCACCTCACTCACCAGACGAAACGCGAAAGTATTATACTTCCACTTTACGCCGGTCTTCTGTGAGGTCGTGCTACTTACCCGGACGAGCCTGCCCATTCGTGCAACAGCCGAGGCTGCTACATGGCCCTACCACCGTACAACATTGTGCTCTGGTAGAGCCACGCAACAGCTTTCCTTACTAATATTAAAAGGCGAAAGTTTGTATGTATGGATGGATGTTTGTTACTTTTTCATGCAAATACTACTGAATGGATTTTAATGAAACTTTACAATGATATAGCTTATACATCAGAATAAGACATAGGCTAGAATTTATATTTTATGTATATCTGTCTTTTTGTCTGAATGATACGCCTTCAGCCTATTCTACGCAGACGTAGTCGCGAGCAGCAGCATGTACATAATAAATTCAAATTCAAAATATATCTTTATTCAAATAGACGCTTGCGCGTTCTTACGAAACGTCGAAGTTTATATTAAAAAAAAAATGTGTGCGTTTACTAGCGTACACTCGTAAGAAGTGAAACTTTTTTATGACGTTATTTTTCAAAAAATAATTTACTATATGCAACTTTACAGAAATTGGTTAAATAAAGTTAAATTAGATAAAGTTTAATAAAAGGCTTTTATTATCATAGACATAAATACAAATTCTACAATTATTTCATTTTAGCTTTGTATAATATTTAGTTTCTTATTTGTAATACATAGGTGGCGTTAGTAATAAATTAAAACACACTATGGTTTGACCATTGTAATTAGTATGAGGGTCCGCAAAAATTGTTGATTAAAAATCTACCGATCGAGCCGAAGTCCGGCCCTCTCGGGCACCCTCGAATCGGAAGGCTAAACGCGTGTTGAGTGACAGCCCAAGCCGAGGTCCCCTCTCGGGGACCCTTGAGCCTGATCACTCCATAGAGCCCCCGCCAAAGCGCCCTAAGAGCTAGGCGGCCTCCCAAACCGGTGAATTAAATAGCGTGACGGCCCGAGCCGAGGTTCCTTCGGGAGCCCTCGAGCTTAGTCACCATAACGCGTAATAATAAATACGCGAGGTTCAGGCTAGGCGCCTCGAGCGCCCGGCCACCTCAAGTCCGTCGGAAGTGTAAAGGCCCCTAAGGCCAACAGTGGCTCATCAAGCCCAAAAAAAAAATTGTTTAAAAAACTTGCAACGTGAACCTTGTTTATTTCAATTAACCTCACGGACCCAAAATACAACCGCTTTGAATTTGTACATGGTCCTTCGTTGCCGAATAGTCAGCCAGTGACAAGAAGGCAGACATTCGACTCGCGCGCGAGTGTTGTGAGTGAAGTTTTTTTGGAAAACCGAACTTGCGGACATTGGATCGACGTCGCAACCGCAAGTTCCAGGAGCCGATCGAGGTTTCGAAGAGCATCATCGGTCAGCTTCAGATTGTGTCTTCGGTGGAAGGCGCAGTCAGGTCACGGTGGGCGGTGCCTGCCTTTGGAGAAGAGGAAGTCGACACAGTGTCGTGCTCTGAAGTATTAGAGCTAGCACTGTCATTACTACAAAGATTATTATTGAATTTCATTAATTGTAATAGAATTATTACTATCATTGATGTCGTTATTATACATTTGTGTTAGTAATGGCTTATGGTAACTGAAATACGAAATATATTGTTTACATTTTATAATTAGAATTAAAATAAACCCTTTGATTTTGCTGATCACTTTAATATAACATATATATATATTGCTATGAACACACAAAGGAACTAACGCCATCTAGCGTCAACTATTAAAACCACTAAAGAATAAAGACGACATAAAACCCCCTATTCAACACTAGATGGCGTTAGAGGAACATTTTAAGATAAAAAAAAAAAGATGGCGCGTAACGGAAAAATGTTACACTACATTTTTTTCCAACCCCGATAAAGAAGTTTCACTTCAATAATTAATACATAAGTTGTAAGTAAGTTACCACCGTTTCGGAAGGCAGTTTCTGTTGAAAAGAGACCAGCAAGAAACTCAACAGTTGCACTTTTTTAAACTTAATAAGTAATTAAGCTAGGTATTACTTACTTTTCCACAAATTTGGAGTTTTTTATTCTGTGCTCTATTTAATCAGCTAAATGTACTCGTTTCAACAATTATGATGCTGTGTGACAGATTGGCTGTTTCATATATTTTATATAATCAGCGCGCGGTGGCACTTGAAGCCAAGAAACTGAACGTAACTAAGTCGCTCGTACATAGTGAATCCTATAATATATACGAGTACAGTGGACGCGGCTAAAGCTGTGTCCACATCGAGCGAAACATAAATGTATAACAGGTATCCTAAAACGTAACCTCAATTGATCGATGATAGCGCCTTAACTGCTCATTTGTGCACAAATCGATATTCAATTATGCAACGGATATTTACCAACAGAAATCCTTCACGTAATCCATTGAAGGGTCTGAAAAACAAGAACTCTTCTCCGGTAATATCAATTTACTTACTGACATGACACAAGCTACTGAATATAAAACGAAAGTAATGTTATTCTCAAGTTATAGGGAGGAAAAAGCAGTTATACTCAACTGATAGGGGTAGTTGAGCCCCATCAGTTGAGTTTAACCGCTTTTTTCGTTAACAACAAGGATGCTTCAAACATAGTTGATAAAATAAAAAAAATGTCAAACTTAAATTACCCATTAATAAACGACATTTTTTAATGATCTTCCTCCAAAGTTTTTCGCTTCAAAATGTTTTATTAAACTCTTACAGCGTAAATGCTAATGGTAATTAAAAAAACATTTCAAAGATTGATTTCCGTTTGTATGAAAAACTTTTACAATTGACTGTCCTAACATTTCTCTCACGACACGAAACCCTCCGTTGTGCAATTGTCTCGGTGGATTTACATTTTTTATGACAAGCTATAAGACTCAACTCAATACACAAAACGCAAAAAGGCAAATATACCTTTACTTTATGGCGGTCATCACGATTCACTCAGCATCAGAAGCTATGGCGGGGATTTTTTGATTTTGTTTTTTCTACCCTGTAGCACGACTAGCAAGTCTGTCCGGGTAAGCACCTCAACCTCAACCAAGTGTTATAATTCCGCGTTTCTTCTGGTGAGAGGAAACAGGGCCCCACTTAATTAAAAGGTGGCAACACATCTGCAACTCTATGAGTGTTGCAAATGTCCATGGGCGGCGGTTATCACTTAACATCAGGTGAACCGCCAGCACACTCGCCACCTTCTCACATAAAAAATAAATAGAACACTGAAGCATTTTTATTTATACTAGTGGAATCGAACCATAAGCCTCGTTCTCAACAGTTAGTCAACTATGTGTGTGTGCAGTCGCTGAAATAAAACTACATTAAGTTAGCGTGTCATTAATCAAACGACCAGTTAGATACACAATGAGATGCATTACTATTGTTGTGTTATTGTACGTTAGGTGACATCATACCGGGCATTAGATCTTCGATAACGATGTTCGAAAGTCGAATTACGGCGCGACGTTGCGTTGTTTGCGCAGAGCGTATCTCATTTCATTTCCTGCGTGAATTGCAATTGACATTATTCGGATCTACAACGTATCGTCGGTGTTGGCCGTTTGGACAAACGCACGTTTCCTTTGTCCTTACGGTAGGATAATATTATTTTGACGACCTGTTTGGCGTAGAGGGCAGTGAACATGTCTCCTGCGCGAGGGTTCGATCTCCATTACTGGAAAATATTATGTGACGAACGGTGTTATTCCAGTGTCCGGGTGTTTATATATGTATAATATTGTATTTATATATGTATAATCTTATCCTTTAAACGAGCAATTCTTGTATATATATATATATATATATATATATATATATATATATATATATATATATCGGAATCTCGGAAACGGCACCAGCGATTTTCATGAAATTTAGTATGTGCATAGATTCGGGGGCAAAAAATCGATCTAGCTAGGTTTCATTTTTAGAAAATGTCCTTTTATCCCTGTTTTCAGGGAATGAAAAATATAATTCGAATATGACAGTAAATTTCGCCGCAAGAACAAATGTCATAATAGCTCGGCCGGTAATCGGGCGGCCCCAAAACAGACGGCCGTGGTTCGTGTCACGATCATTTACACATTAATTTTTTACTTCTTTTTTCGATTCCAGATCATTGCTTTCTTTATTTTTAATTTTTTGTCAATTTGTTATTTTTTTCCCTTTTTTTTTAAAGTTCTTTCTTTTGTGAAAAACATCAGTTCATATTTTCTTATTATTACGTCGGTAAGATCGAAAAATATTATGCATATTTCATTACTCAGTAATTTGTATCTAAATGTAATTTCCAAAATACACGATTTACCAAAAAAAAAACAAACCGAGCAAAGCTCGGTCCTCCGGGTACTAGTATATATTTATTTACAAAAGAAAAGTAGGTTAAAGTATGTTTATCAGTTATCTAGTACCCACAGTACAAGTGTTCCTTGGTTTGGGACTAGAAAACGTTGTGTGTGGACTAAAATAAAAAACTTTGTCTTATTTTTTTACATTTTATATCCTGTATTTCAAGGACGTTTTACATACATAAATTTCACATGAACAAATACCCAGATTCGATATAATTATCTACGGGTCACACAAATAGTTGTCCCGTGTGGGAATCGATACCACGACCCCCAGCCCCGAAGTCAATACCTTGGCAAATTCACCACGGAGTCATCGAATCACTTCTTATTCCATTGCCAAGAGTACTTCGAAAATTAAACGACAGTTGGCAAGATAGGTAATTACTCAAGGTTTTATTATCAGTTAACATGGTATACTTGCAGTGTAATAAATAATGCAGTTGTTCTGTAGACCTTTAAGTGTAGTTGAATAACTTATAAACAACGTCAACAACAAAATCTTTTTTTTTTTTACAAACACTACAGGCTCGTAGTCCGTACTATTTTTCGATTAACATTTATGTAGTTGTCTTTTTTTACTTTCTTTCGTTTGTACTTTGTAACAATGTTAAGCATTGATCTAATACTAATAAACCTCAACAGAATGCCTTGAGTCGTATTTGTTATAGTGAAATGTTTAAGGTCATCGCTAAAATATGCATCTATCAGGTTTATTGCTAACAAAACGTACGATCATCATTTTATACAGTTGTTACAAAGATCCTGGAGCGATCAATTCATTACCATTTAAATTATATATAGATAAATATAACAAATTATATATCATTAGTATTATAATAGCATTTAACCAACAAACGTTCTTTTACTACTTTTTTAAATTTATCTATTGATGCATTTTGAACGTTTTCTGGAATTTGGTGTTGAAACGTATACAATGTCGCATAAAAGATTTACTCATTCTACGCAGTCTACTTGTGGGTAGGATTAATTTGTTTGTTTGTTTCTAGTATTTATACTATGAACATTATTATTGTCTTGAACATTTATCCTTATTTTTATGGACATACATAACATTTTCAAAAATGTATTTAGAAGCAACAGTAAAATCTTTAAACAAGTTTCTTAACGATTCTATGGGCCCAGATTATAAATATATAAATAGCTCTATTTTGAAGGATAAAGATTGTATTAATATCGGCCGCGTTACCCCCAAGTAGAATGCCATAAGACATTAAGGCCCATTTACACGATGCCATTTTCTTGTACATACAAGAGCAATAATTGAATGCAATAAATTGCGCGCAATAATTTGTTAGACCATTTGTTGTTTAGACCATGCAACTCATTTATTGCTTCAATTTAATTGTATACAACAGGCAAGAAACTTGCACCGTGTAAATGGGCCTTTATACTATGAAAATAACTAAAATACATCAAAAGAGCCGTAACGTCTTATTTTCTTAACCGCGAAGACCGCTGAGCTAAGTCTACTCGCCAGTCTATTAATATTAAGGGCCCATTGAAGTCTGGCATCGGTAGTTATGCCAAGGAATACAGTTGAGTCAATAGGGACCAGCGCTTCCCCATATAAAAGTACATCAGTTTTTACATGTTTCACATTGGAGTTGTAAATTTAATACATTTAGTTTTTTTTATTATTCAACAGTAAATTGTTAGCACTAAACCAAGGTACTACAGTGGATAGAGTATTGTTTACATCGTCATAATTTAAAGAACGTCATTTTACTTTAAAAATTAAAGAGGTATCATCAGCAAACAATACTATCTCATATCTACTTATAATTATTATTAACTAGATATGGTAGATCTTTTATGTCAATGAGGAAAAGAAAAGGCCCAAGAACAGATCCCTTCGGGCCCCGGGAGATCTCTTGCCATTCGAGTCAACTCTCTGAATTCAATGGAAAGTATGATTTCAGAAGATTGAGTGTGGCATCTCTTATACCATAATGGCGTAGTTTACCGACCAGGGTCTCATGCTGTAAACAATCGAAAGCTTTGAATAAGTCACAGAATCTACCAAGAGTCACAGTACAAGAGTCAAGTCACAGAATATACCTAAGGCATCCTACGACTCTTCTCAGGCTTCAAAAATATTCATAACGAGCTGAACACCCGCATCAGTTGTTGAGCGACCCCTAGTAAACCCATATTGCTTGTTATGTAATAAATAATTAGAGCTAAAATGCAAAGAGAATGTAATCACTATGTTTTTGCTAAAATGATGTGACATTTGATTCAACATGATTTTTTCAAAAATTTTACAAGAGTTGGCAGTACAGAGATAAGTCTAAAATTATTGGGGTCGGAAGTACTACCAGATTTAAACACCGGAATTATTTTACTATTTTTAAATTTACTACTCGAGTGTACTAGTGCCTTATCATGTCACTTAACATCTGTAATACAGCGAAGGGAGCAGAGTTTCGAGTTAACTTATTCAGTCAATTTTAAATAATAAAGGTGCAGTTTTAAAATACTGTCAAAAAAGATAAGACAAATAGAAAACGTGATGCAGGGCCTCCTCTACTCAGTTGCCTCCTCAAAAAATCTCATCTACTCTCGATCGGCATAAGAATAGTTTGCCTGAGTAACTGCAGTAAAACACATTTGTATCTCAGTACACTGTAAATACTACTAACAGAACTCTATGTAGACAATATTATCATTAAGAATAATACAAAAGTTCTGTTCTAGAAAACAACTAATAAGTAAGATCCCAACTAGTTGAATCCGATTGCTACACGCCAGTAAGAGAAAGATGGAACGTAAATGAAACACCAAATATAATAACCATTTCGATTTATTCAGTTAAAATATGAAATAACTTACGAGTAAAGTAAAAATAAGTGGTTTTTTTTTTTTTTTCATTAGATAAGTCGTCAACCAACACGCAGAGGTTAACTCTACAAGCCGCCCGCACCCCGCACGTAACCGATCCATTCGCTAAAATACATTCTAACGATTACATACATTATTGTAATTTGTATTAGGTTTACATTAAATTATCAATGGACAATTTGGACGTACAACAGTTTTTGAATCTCTTTCATATATATATTTACTATAGTGTGCCCTATAGAGGATGTCTCTTCACTTTCGTTCCATTTTAATGCCTATTCGTAATATTTACAGGTCGCTAAAATCACTTTTTTTTATTACTTCCTTCTATTATTGTATACTCTTGAAAGCTATTCATTAAAATTATTCAATAACTCCCTCTTACTTATTCGTAGCGGTTACAGGAATCTACGTAGACACTATAGCTGATTGAATGTGGAATATATGTAAAATTCTATGAAGATTTGTAGTTTCTACGTATTCATTAAATGTAATATAATCTATAGTAGAACCTCTGTAGACTCTACATTAGCCAAAATGTGCACACTTTGGGACTATAAAGTCTACAGTGGACTCTACGTAGACTCTAGTGTGATGTTCAGATTTAAGTTCTCTACGTGAATGTCGGAAGTTCGAAATCGAATCTATCTAATGGAACAAAAGTCAAGCAACACTATTTAACAATGATTTGGGGCGTCACCAGGTTGAGAGAGGGCAGAGTTTGATTCGACCGCAACTAAAACATAACTGATGCCAATAACGAATCCATTGTAAATACTCAATAATAAAGACTATTATTATAATTAAAAAAAAAACAACTAAAAATTCACTAAAAAATTACAAATTCACTAAAAAAAAGAAACAATAAAAGATTCCAATGAAATAGTTAATAAACAATTCAATAAAGATTCCAATACAAAATAAGAATATGTAAAAATATTGCATACATAGAGCCGGAAGTGAACCCTTCCCCGATATAGAGTCCCAGCCACGCCCGCTGAGAAGGAGCACTCACTGCGACAGAGCAGAAGCCCCGATAAATAGAGAATGAGACAGAGTGACTTATTGCTCGCGAACGCACGCCCTCTCGCTCTTCACAATAGTTAGCGCCGACGCTATGACGAAGGTCCGAACGGCCGCTTATAACTTACCACGCGCGCCACGCCGGACTAGAAAACAGGCCCATATCGCATCAAAATTCAGACGTCGTCAATAAAAATAGAATATCGCTACGAGTGCTTGCGTTCAGGGTTGTAACGTTAATTCGAATACGCCCCGTTATTTCTACGATACGCTTGACGAATAGAGCCGGAAGTTTATTACTTCCGGTTGCGGTGTGCGCGTCATAGGACGTTCATTATACAAACATTCGGCAGACTGATAACGTGTGGCCTGCACATACATAAAGCCCAAACAGGCTCTACCACACATACCATCGCGATCTTTACTATATATCAACTCTATCAGTCCGGCGACGACACTAGGCCCGAGGCGCCGCACTGCGCTCTACGGGAACTACTTAAGAAACATACTTATACATACTATTCCCATACGGTCAATACAATATCAACAACGCAACTAGGGTACTACTTACAAGAGACTATGAAACATCACGAAATCCCATGTGACTGCGATACTTAAAGACGAAACGCGCTGGGTCGCGACTAACAAGAATACAACCGAGTGTAGAGCCGAGTGGCTCTACACTCGTAGCACGCGCCTCCTTCGCCCCGTAGCCTCGTGGACTACGCGGAGACGGAAACGCGTGACTCGCACGGATGCGACTTACATATTATACAGGTAGAACATTAAAATAAAATGTTAAAAAAACTAAAACGATTACACGTACGATAGATAACAAAACAAAAACCACGGACAAAACTATATCCTCGCATACCGTGAATCGATCGCTCGTTATACACAAATTAAACTAAAACGCCGTCGAGGGGGACCGCTTCGCCGACGTCCGATGCAAACGACTGCTTAACCTAGGTAAGGTATAAGAAACGGGAAGTGGGCGTAGCCCCACGAGGTCTACGCCACGCGCTGCTCTACTCTGGCGCGGCTACGGTGACGGCATGGCTACGACACGGTGCCGACACGAGACGGCGACACGGTGCCGACACGTGCGACTACACTGTACACAATACACGCGTGTCCGATGCTCGCCCCGTTACAGCTCGCCGGCCAGTTCGGCTGAAACCTGAAAATAAAATAATAGTTTTATTGAAAAATTGTTATTTTAATAATTTTAGTGCAGCAGTAGAGGGTATCCATATTTACGTTATCCAGATTTCAAGATACAATAAAAAAAATAGCTCATCTAATATCCAATCCGAAGTCAAAACTACATATAGATAATATTAGCAGAAGACTAAGAAGTAATTTTAAGAATATTATCTATATATTTTAAATCTTTAACAGTCGCTGTAAAAACATGAATGTATCATTGATAAAAATGGTGAAACATTTGGTTAGTGTTTTCTTGATAATTGGTCACACTATTGCAACCATATGAGTACCATTAGAAGCGATATCGTTGCGGAGTATGGTAGAAATACGATGGATTCAAACTAAGTACTACTGACATTTGCAGCATTTATTGTGGCCGTGAAGTAAATTAGTAGAATAGTGGAATGTAGTGAAGTATAGTCATATACATGAAACAGGTTATGGTGGTCAATTTTGGTCATTAACATCGTAATTTTCGTAGCCGGGTTGAAGTTTATTAATATATTGGAGGATATACGACTGCATCGAACCGGATAAGGTGGTCAGTTTTAGTCCTTAACAGTGAGGTGGTCGTAGCAGTGTATTAATTTAGTAGTTTGATGAAAACACGACTGCATCCAATAATTAATACAGTTAATGTGTTAAAATACAGTGATTAAAATACAGTTAATGTGCTCACATTTAGTCTCTAATAGTATTAAATTTACTGATTAGTCAATAGGTGGAATAATACAAAACAAGTAATTGCAGTCGCGCTGGAGTTCGGCGTTCGCGTCCAAAGAGCCACGTAGCGTAGTACCGACGTAGCCTGCACCAATGTGATGAGCACCGTAGCGTCGTAGGCCAGTACCCATGTGCTGTGCGCCGTAGCCCCAAGATACGTGGTGAACGCCGTAGCGCATAGGCACATACCTATGTCGTGGGCGCCGTAGTGCGTAGGCCCGTACCTATGCGGCGAGTGTCGTAGCGCGTAGGCCCGTACCTATGCGCTGAGCGCCGTAGCGCTTAGGCCCGTACGTATGCGCTGAGCGCCGTAGCGCGTAGGCCCGTACCTATGCGCTGAGCGCCGTAGCGCTTAGGCCCGTACGTATGCGCTGAGCGCCGTAGCGCGTAGGCCCGTACCTATGCGTGAGCGCCGTAGTGCGTAGGTCCGTACCTATGCGGCGAGTGTCGTAGCGCGTAGGCCCGTACCTATGCGCTGAGCGCCGTAGCGCTTAGGCCCGTAGGTATGCGCTGAGCGCCGTAGCGCGTAGGCCCGTACCTATGTGGTGAGCGCCGGTTGCGCGTGGTCGGGCGGCGGCGGGTGGGCGGGCGCGGGCGGCGGCGCCGCGTACTCCACCACCTCCTGGTAGATGAGCTGCTTCCACTGCTCCACCGTGTGCTCGCGCTCGTCCACCGAGTGGTCGTACGACGCGGGCGCGGGCTGCGACGATGTTATTATTACGCAAATATCGCTCAGTTCACGATGCGTTGCCACCTCACTCACCGGACGAAACGCTACGTAGAATACGTCTAACTCACACTGTCCTTTAATTCTATGAGGGGCTCAGTCGGTTAAAGATTAGTAACGCATATGCAACCCGCCCTAGACGTCCTCGGGTGGCGGTAATCATTTAAAATCAGTTGCACCACCTGCTCATTTGATAATTTTTTACATAATAAGAGGGACAAACGACAGAGAAGTTTGAGCTAGCGCGCTCGTGGTGCGTAGCCCTTTCAAGGGCGCCCTGGATGATAAAATGCTGGCCTATAATAAACTTCTACCAAAGACTGAATCGCTGCTTGGATGGTATGATGAAGCATTTGAACAGAATGGGATTATCAGTATGTTATATATATTTATTATATATTCGGGAGCCAGGAGAGATTGAATGGCGTCCCCCAGGGTGCATGTGCGTGGCCGCCGGTCCACTCACCGCGTTGACCTCGCCCTCGTCGTACCACACGTTGATGTAGGGGTGCAGCAGCGCCTCGTCCACGGAGATGCGCCGCTCGGGGTCGATGACCAGCATGCGGGACAGCAGGTCGCGCGCCTGCGAGGCCTGCGCGGACCGAACGGGTGTGTGTACGTCAAGTGGCAGCCTGAACATGTCCCACTGCTGGGCAGAAGCCTCCTGTGCAGCGGGTATTAGTGCATAGTCCACCACGCGACCTGTCAGCGGCTTGGCGAACTTCACATATCTTGAAACATTTTTTTTTATTTTGATAACAAAGTCGTAACGTTTTCTCTTTAACGTGAACGCGTGGTAAGCCAGCACTTAGAATGAGCAACTTCATTGGTGCTAAAACCGGGAATTTAACTCTGGTTGCTTGTATATTTATATTATATATTGAATTAATGTGACTGCAGGCCTCGCCAGCCGCTACAGCGTAGCGTACCTTGAGCCTGTTGTGCTCGTTGCTGTCGCTCGGAAACAGGATGTCGGGGAAGAGGCGCTCGAAGCTGTAGCCGGCGTAGCGCGGCCGGTTCTCCACGTAGTTGCGCACGGTGGGCTGCAGGCGGGACATGAACGCCGCCGAGGGGGTGCCCAGTTGCTCTACGGATGTTCACTCATATCAGACACGGAGGAACCGACTCTACCACTGACAGACCCGTATAGGCCACGAAAAAGTGTTCACGCAAACATGTACTATGTCAATGGTGATCGTTTACCAAGTTGCTCTACGGATGTTCACTCATATCAGACACGGAGGAACCGACTCTACCACTGACAGACCCGTATAGGCCACGAAAAAGTGTTCACGCAAACATGTACTATGTCAATGGTGATCGTTTACCAAGTTGCTCTACGGATGTTCACTCATATCAGACACGGAGGAACCGACTCTACCACTGACAGACCGTACGTATAGGTCACGAAAAAGTGTTCGTATAGGCCACGAAAAAGTGTTCACGCAAACATGTACTATGTCAATGGTGATCGTTTACCAAGTTGCTCTACGGATGTTCACTCATATCAGACACGGAGGAACCGACTCTACCACTGACAGACCCGTATAGGCCACGAAAAAGTGTTCACGCAAACATGTACTATGTCAATGGTGATCGTTTACCAAGTTGCTCTACGGATGTTCACTCATATCAGACACGGAGGAACCGACTCTACCACTGACAGACCCGTATAGGCCACGAAAAAAGTGTTCACGCAAACATGTACTATGTCAATGGTGATCGTTTACCAAGTTGCTCTACGGATGTTCACTCATATCAGACACGGAGGAACCGACTCTACCACTGACAGACCCGTATAGGTCACGAAAAAGTGTTCACGCAAACATGTACTATTTCAATGGTGATCGTTTACCAAGTTGCTCTACGGATGTTCACTCATATCAGACACGGAGGAACCGACTCTACCACTGACAGACCCGTATAGGCCACGAAAAAGTGTTCACGCAAACATTGTACTATGTCAATGGTGATCGTTTACCAAGTTGCTCTACGGATGTTCACTCATATCAGACACGGAGGAACCGACTCTACAACTGACAGGTCTGTGCAGGCCGTGCAAAATTGTGCACGCAAACATGTCCAATGCCAACGATCGTTAGTTACTAATTTGCCACATGGATCCTGTTCACGCAAACATGTCCAATGTCAATGGTCATAATTTACCAAGTTGCTTTGCGGATGTTCACTCATGTCAGACTTCATGGTCATGTCATGGATGACTCCGAGGCGCAGTTGCCAAGAAATGGGCTTCGGCGCCGGGAGTATAAAAGAAATGAAGACATGTGATAGATTTTGGATGGTAAATTATCAAGTTCATGAGTGCTACTAACAACGATTATAATTTGTTTGACTTTATAAATGCACTAGCGACCCATTCCGGCTTCGCACAAATATACATATAACATTATACATATAAACCTTCCTCTTGAATCACTCTATTTAGTAAAAAAAAAACCGCATCAAGATCCGTTGCGTAGCTATAAAGATCTAAGCATCATAGGGACGGACAGACAGGCAGCGGGACGACTTTGTTTTATCCTATGTAGTGATGATAGAAATATCTGGAGAGAATATGAAATCGAGTGATGAATTACCTTTAGATTTAAGAGAAATTTATATTTATTTACAAAAGAAAAGTATGTTTATCAGTTTTCTAGTACCCAAAGTACAAGCTTTGGGGCTAGAAAATGTTGTGTACAAATGTGAAAAAAAAAAATCTCACCTATAATCTTGTTCCATTGATCAATGTGATCGGTCCCTGGGAAGAGAACGCCCCCGCGTATCATCTCGCCCATGATGCAGCCCACGGACCAAATGTCCACGTTCTCTGTGTAACCCATGCCCAGAATCACCTGGATGCATGCGGAAATTAAAAAATGGACATAATTTTTAACAACCACTTAATGAAAGGTGAGACCTTTTCTAAAAATAAATTTTTAGGAACACTACTTCACACAGCATGACATTTAAAAGCGACACAATTTATATTTTGTTATTTGTTAATTGAAGTACAGAGATGCATTAAATACCCTAATCCCAGATTTAGTCTCGGCTTTCAGGTTAGAAAAATCTATCTATATACAGTTCTTTACATTATACGTTATTGAGTAGAGACTGGGTGGATAATTTTTTGGTTTTATCGAACTGTGTGGATTCGTTGAGCCCCCTATTTGACCAATGATCTTATAGCACAACAGAATAAATATTATTAAATAAGCAGTGTTACGTGGATACAATACAATTAAGTCGCAAATAAAATTATATTAAAATTAATCACCTCCGGAGCGCGGTAGTATCTGGTGACGACGTATGGTGTCATCATGAAGGTTGTGCCGGCCGTGCGGGCCAAACCAAAGTCCAGGATCTTCAGAGTGCAATCGCTCTTCACCACAATATTTGATGGCTTCAGATCCTAATGAAGGCAACGTGGCCGATAAATAGTATAACTCTTGTACCGAATCCAAAAAGAAGCAGTAATTGAAAAAAAAAGATTTTAAACAGTTCAATATCAAGTGATACAACATAATAAATATATTCGAAGATCATGTCATATTTAATTCTGACCGCTTCCAACTTTAGATTAATTCGTTTATTCGGACCGCTAAAAGTCGATTCGTAAATAGAATGGTTTATAACCATCTTCGATTAAATATAATAGAAACACAATATCGAAAGATTAAATAGTATAGAGAATTCAGTGTGGAAAATAGTAGAGGTCACAAAGGTCATAGAAAATAAGAAGTTAATGTTATCTAAGTAAACATGATAAATTGTCGGAAACAATTTGAAACAATTCGAAGTATCCCATGTGTAAACGTAAATCTTACCCGGTGAATGATCCCGGCGAGATGCAAATGCTTTATACCGCACAGCATCTGATACAGGAGATAGCTCATCCTCTCGTGGTCCAGGTCCATTTGGATCACTTGGCATAGATTCGCGTCCATCAGCTCCATCACCAGGTACACGTCTTGGAACTCCTCGAGGCTCCGTTGCGGTGTGAAGGCGTTGAGGAGACCGATGATCTTGATGGATGAAATGACAATCTCCATGAGCACATATAAATAACATAAAATAACAATAAACATTTCAGAACATATTTTTACACAATGCTATCGAGTCGCAAATTAAGCAAAGCTTGTACTAAGGTTACTAGGTAACTGATAAACATACTTTTCTTTTGTAAATAAATACACATTTCACATATATAAACAACCAGACACTAGAAAAACACTATGTTCATCACACAATATTTTTCCAGTAGCGGGGATCGAACCCTCTTCTTCTGGCGTAGGAGACAGGTCCACTATCGACTAAGCCAATTGGGTCGAAATATAACTACAAACAATTTTTTTTGTCTACATTTATCCTCTCTCTCTATTTCCCCTTCCTCTTATAAATACTCCGTCTCTATTAATGGCAGATAAACATTTTTTTACGGTGGATATGACTGAAAGCAAAAATACCATACAGAAAAGGCATCCTTTTCAAATCGGGTTCCTCGAAGACCCTGAATATGAGGCGAGCGTGTAAAAGACACCAAAGTACGGAAGAACAATTAGGCACACAACTTCCAGACAAAACGGACGAGGTTTCCCGCCGCCGCGGGAATCGAACCCACGTCTTCCGGAACCCCACCCAGACGCTTTAGCCACTAAGCTGTTTAGCTTACTGGCTAAACAGCTTAGTGGCTGACTAGCCGACCGATTGCCGTGGAACATTTTCAACGTGACGGACGCTCACATTCTTATGGTTGACGAGCTTCATGAGCTTGAACTCCCTGTAGGCGCGTTTCGCGTGCGTCACGTTCTGAAAGGGCCGCGACAGCTTCTTGATCGCGACGTTCTGTTGCGTCACCGTGTCGTACGCGGCACTGCAAGTGAGACGACATTACTGACACCCCTATGAACGCCATTAGTAAGAGTGAGACACAAGAAACTTGATCAAAATACGAAACGGTGATGAGTTGTGTTGGTTGTTTTTTTTTTATCTGTACATGTTGACTACAACTTTTACATGATCTTTTTTTTTTTTAATTTATATTTTCGAAAACTTTTCTAAACCACTTTACTAAAATTGTAATATTTTAAATTGTTACTTTGTGTACACAACATTGAGCAGTTGTATAAAATAATTTATAGATTATGTTAGCAATTATAGTTTTCATAAAAGATAAACGATTTATACCTGAAGTGTACAATTTTAAATTTGTATGTTTCTCCTTCTATAAAATTTTTGCGCACATAAAAAGACTTAAAATTCCGAAAGAACAACAGTCATATAATAAAGTGTTGAGTAGATGAGTTAAGGTCAATAAAAAGGGTGGATCAACTAAAAATCATTACAATTACATATGCATTGAACAATTCACGATGAAAGAATCGATTATAAACGACTCCTTATGTACTGTCTACACATTGACAATTAAATGAAATAATACATTTCTAATTTTCTTTAAAAAAAGATTGAAGAACAGATAATGATTTTGAAATAATCTTCAGTTTTATTTACCTGGAGAAATTAAATACCTAAATATAAAACTCGATTCAATTTTGAGTAAAACATATTTTAAATATAGGCATAAAGAACATATAGTGAAATTCATATTGAGTACATGCAATTTGCAAACCACACTTATAAAATGTTAAACATTAATTATTAAAAAAAATATCTATAACTTGTCAAGTTCCTTGGTATAGAAATTACGGGCAAATTTCGACGTAGAGTTAATCAAAAATAATTAATAGTAGCGAGATAAAAAAATAAATAAAGTTAGTCAAAAACACTGAAAGGCTAAGCACCGTAAAACGTTATATTAGGCAGATTAAAGCAAATCTAGTTTTGTAAAAGGACTTTATCACCTGACGTACTTAATGAAAATTTTGGATTTATAATCATATGGGTTTTATTAATTGTTATGATTATATTTCAACCTTAAACAATGGACGAAGTAAAATATCTATTATATTTTATAGATTTTAGAAATTAAATGACGTAGATCAGACAAACATCAATTAATAATTATTAAATAAACTAGCCACATCAATATTTCATTACGAAAAATATACGCTCCTCTACTACAAATATTTAATAGAATACTTCGACGGAAATTTACGCGCCAGTTTCGTTAATTTAACTTAATATAAATACTAAATATTATTTTAAGCTGAATACGATATTTTACGACCGAAAAGTTATACCGAATTTAATTTATCTTTTTTGCTTAATAATATAACTGGACTGTAGTCAGAAAGAGGTCTTTCATGAATCATCGTGATGTACGCAAACGGATCACACTATGCGATTTTACATTTAAAAATGTTTTTGGCGGCTGTTGTCGTATCAATAAGTAACAAGCTCTAGTAAACTCCTATTTCGATTGATATTAATTGGAAATGTAGTCGAAGACGGTCAACGTACTGAGCTCAATAAAAGACAAATCACCTTTCCTCCGTTTTAATGGTCAAAATAAAGTTCGCCCTGTGAATTAACCTGTGGTGGGAGATAGAATGGGACGCGGGGTGAAGCGAGTGGAGTTAGTCCAGAACCAAAGCGGGTCCGCGGATGGGGGGAACATCGAAAGCGTGAAGCGACCAGCCCAATAAGGTCCAGGTCCTTACCACACCATGCCCTGGGCGCCGGCGCCGCGCCGCACTAGCTCTGTGTACCGCGTCGGTATTGTGAACACTGTGTCACCAAAACTGACCGAGTAAAACTGTACCATCGCTACTCGCTTTAACACTAACCGGGATCAGCTATAAACAGAACACACATTATATTTGCGGTGGCTTTGTGCTGTGCTGTGCTGCTTGAGTCCAGGTGTGCAGAGTTGTTGGTGTGTTCGGTTGTAATGGCCCTTGACGCTAGGTCACGTGTACTGCGTCTAACTGGGTGGGCAAAGAAGTGTCTACAACGTCTTATTTGGTCCCGAAAGTGACATACGCTGAGATTTATCGCCGTGTATAAAGCATTGCGGGCCAGTAATTTTTACGAGACATCTGAAAAACTTAGTATATTGTGCATGCCACTGAGATTCGAAAGTACGAATTAAGCAACACAAACACGATTGTTTTTACAATGTGTTATATATACAATATCTTTGCGTGTTTCGTTTTTAGGTTTTACCAACAAATTTCACGAGACCTGAAATTTAAAAATTACCTAGACGTTTGGAGCAGGTCTTGGTTTCTAGAAACAATCGATGAGATTTCCTACATATTTCAAAGATCATTTATCTTAATAAATAAAAATGTTGGTAAGCGCATAACTCAAGAATGGCTGGACCAATTGGGCTAATATTTTTTTTTGTATGTTCCTTAAGGCCCACGGAAGGTTTTAATACTATAAATTAAAAAAAAAAGAACGAAGCAGCCCGGACAGCTAGTTCCAAATAAAAGTAGGAGAACATACAAACCAGGATGAATTGGCAAGTAAAACGAGAAAGCCTAAGCGAGCATAAATTTTAAATACATACGTTTGCGTTGCAAAGTTCAATGACCGACGAAGTGGAAAATTAATGGAGATTGCGAAAGGTTACAACAGAACGGTCGTGCAGTTACGAACGTGCAATAAAATGGTCGCGTGCGTTAGACCGCTGGAAGGCTGGTAAAAGGAAACGTTCAAAAGTTACACGCGAATTCGTGGTAAACTAAAAATGAACAAGAATATATTAAAAATAAAACAAACGATGAATGTAATGAAACAGATAAGAGAAAACCTTCAACCAGTAATAGAAGAAGATAAATAGAGATTATAGAAATGTTAAGACAGATGCAATTAGATAATCGACTTGACTCGTTGACTTTAGGGAAATAGCTAATCAAACATTAATTCAAATGTCATTACAGTAATGACTACATTGTACAAAACACTCGTCCCGCTGTCTATCTGTCCCTATGTACGCTTAGATCTTTAAAACTACGCAACGGATCTTGATGCGTTTTTTTTTTTACTTGATAGAGTGATTCAAGAGAAAGTTTTATATGTATAATACATGGCACCCGCGCGAAGCCGGGGCGGGTCGCTAGTAGGAAATAAACAGAAATACTCACTCTACACATACAAGAGATAATTTTAATTGACTTAGGACTTTTTTATCATTAGTAATGCTGAAAACTCAAGATCTGTTCAAACATTTCAAGCAAATATAACGTATTAAGTCCAAAGCTCTACTAAAGCGCTACGTAAATACCGGTGCAGATTTAAATTTGCCGAGCGTTTCGAATAATTAATACTTGCCCTCACTTAACACAGACTGGCTCGGATTTGGGATACTTAATTAGCCGTCGGTTTAACCCCGGTCTAACTCAAGTTTAATTTATCATTGTATATTTTTAGCTACACAGTATCGTTAATACAGATTTGAGATAAATCTACGAAACATACAATGCTGTATATTTACACAAATTCAGTTTTAATAGATATTCTAAAAACATGGTAAGTAAGTACCACGACCTCACTGAAGACCGGCGTTAAGTGGAAGTGTTATACTTCTGCGTTTTGTCTGTTGAGTTTGGTGGCCGGGGCCCACTTTATTGAAAGATGGCAACGCATCTGCAGCTATAAGGGTGTTGCAAATGTTAATGGGCGGCGGTTCTCGCACATAAAAAAAAACGTATAGTTGAGCTATCTGATTTATTTGTATTCGTTATAAATTCTTTTTTACTAACGAAAAACAAAACGGACTGCATACATCGCATTCACTGCACATTTTCTATTTGATTTTGAGGATCTCGTTCTCTTATGTATCTCGGGATTCCGAGATCCAAATGCAATAAAATAAAATTAACATGGGACCTGGACACAGAAGTTAAACCGAACCCAGTGAAAAAGAAGTTTTATGATCAGTTCACAAATGACCGAGTTCTGAGGTAAGAAACATTAAAAAATATATATTTAACCGAATTAAGTGAACATGTGACGTTCAAGACCATTTATAATTGAGTGCTAGTAGGTTTCGACTTTAATTTTATTGTCTTTTCGGGAGTTTCTGGGAGCTAAATTTGTGATAAACATCCGACGCCTCTCGCGACGTTCAGAGAATAACTGTTCTTCAATAAAACAGCTACCGAACTTTATGAGGGTTATTGTATATGTATGTATGTATATTTGCATAACAAATATTTCGGTTCTAGTTTAACGAGTTGCACAGCAATTTTCAAGATATCAACTTCGGCACCGGGGGTTGTGGGTTCGATTCCCACAGGGTACACCTACATATGTAAAATCTCTCTACAGCGCAGGATAATGCCATAGAAATTCCACGTGTGATGTATCGTCGAGAAGATATATTATTTTATTTTGGTAATGGACGTCAATTCATTCGTCTCTCTATGAAGTGAGGTGTGTCCTTGATATCATGATATATGAAGGCAACGGTAAATACACATCTTCCTAACTATTAGCACATTAAACAATTCGTGCGTGTTTTTCACCTATACGAGCTCAATATTACTGTAAAGGCATTAAAACTAACGGCACAATGAAATTTTATCTCTGTTTAAGGAAATGGGTCGACTGCGTGTGTTTCATGTATAATACAATTAGCGTTTTTTTATAGCAAGTGTTTAATGAAGTTATTTTGTATGAACACGCTTATGAATATTAAATGATTAAACCATATGTATAGGTTGATTTCTTGATTTCACGCAAATATTAAACATATTAAATGAAACTAGTTTACATATTTTATCCGTTTTAATCTGTCCCGTGATCATGAACGCTGGAAAGGGTTCGAAACGTCGGGAATTATAAAATCAAAACTATAACTGTTGATTTTTTAAATGGTTCTACCGTATGTAGAAAGAAATCTACTCAATTTTAGTGGAAATATCATTAACATACCTAAACAAATGATTATAATACCATGATTTTCGTCACATGTAAGAGTTATTACGGTTTAGTGTGATGTTTTCGAATGAATAACTACAACTCTATATACATGTATGGACATTTTTATTAGCCACTCGCTATTAATTTTAACTTCAAATACTAATCAAATCACCTAATTGGTGATTGAAAGACAAGACGAACAGATATCAGAAATATCGAGGTATTCTAGCAACTAAGCACAACAAGACATCAGTTTTTCTGAAGGTTGTACACTACTGTACATGGCATTACCTAAGGTTCTCTACTCGAGTTCGATATTGGCTAATACCGAAATGATCCCACATCATTGCCGTCCGATCTAAAGTTTACAAAAACGGTTATGCTACGCCGTCTACGAGCTACGAAGGTCTACCGCGTAGCATAACCAAGCTCGCAGCTCTAGCGACCAAATTAATAAGAACGGGTAAGGGTAATGTTTAAAAAAAATGATGTATCGCCGAGAGAATACATTATTGATTTAGGTAAAGGGCAGCAATTCTTTCGTCTCTCTTGAAGTCCTTGATCCTATGATATCGTAAATATACAACCAAATTAACTATAATCGGTAAGGGGACGGTTCCGGGAGATGGGGACTCACCACACAATGCCCTGGGCGCCGGATCCGATCGGCTTGAGGTTCTGATAGCGCTTGAGGATGGTGAAACGCGTGTCGCCGACCTCCACGGTGTAGAAGTGAGGGTGGCGCGGCGGGGCCGACATGACGGTGGCTGGCGCCGCGTGGGGCATGAAACACCCCTACCTGGAAGAGGAGGAAAGCCGCACCCTATATAGCATGGGCATCATGGTAACGGCTTGCATCTAGATATCAAAAGTACCGGCTTAGGTGGAACATTAAGTTAAATAAAATGTCAATGTCAATTCTAAGAGGTTCAACAATGGACGTCTTCCAACTGATTATGATGATGAGAGTCACAGACCGTACAAATAAAAACAATTACACAGGGTAGCGAATCCATTAAATAACTAATATATGATTTACTATGTAGAATGTGACAATTATTATGATTATTTCTTATGATAACGAGTGATCCAAATTAACCATAGTTGCTTGCAGTCGCTTCTATTCATCATCATCATCATCATTTCCGGCCCATTCGAGTACACTGATGAACATAGACCTGCCCCTAACTATACTATTGGAGTGCCCCATTTCTAATACATAGATTGAAAATTTGTTTAAATTTGGAACCCTAGTATTATATGAACATTAAATCAGTCTGTGTACAATGTTTTGTGCATGAAGTTTTTAAAATAAAAATATATTGCCCAGTAATTAACTAAGTAGAACATCGACCATGTCATTACATTTATTAGATCTCCGAAGAGTGTCTTGCTACAAAGATAATCATATACTACTAATACGATGACTTGAAAAAGCTTGCACTTTTTATTGACTGTATTCCACAAAATTTGAATTGACGATACCGTCAATAGATCTCTTTTGGGAATATACATACAGTCCAGGACGTGCTTTCACTATGAATTGATTAACCCAAAGAGCTCGGAAAAATTGATTCACAAACTAGCCGAACAGGAAGCAAGCGTTGAAGCTCTTATAAATAATTTCATTAGAGCCGGTGACGGAGTTAAGAAGAGTTTGAACTCATCGATTATTAACAAATTAAAGACCGCCGTGCACGTAGAAAGCACACTTCCAACTATGTTGAACAAGGAAGCGATTATCGATATCACTCACTTTACAAAGTTATCCGTATAGAACGTGTTCGAGCAGTCCATATATTGTGGTCGCTCGCTGTTTTCGCCGCCCACTTTGTGCTTATACTCAGCGCAGTGTGCGGGATGAGATTGCAGTGGCAGGGTGCTCTTGCAGAGTGCAGGGTGCGATTCGCAGCGAGTGCAGAACTCCTAGTGTCGGGCTATCACAGATGCAGTCTTGCGGGCAACTGGAAGACTTCGTTATGCTGATTATGTCTGAAACAAGGAGGGACAATTAAATCGATTTTATTCAGCGTCTCTAATCAAAGATGGTCTCTCTTTTTTATTTATTAATCGACTTCAAAAAGGAGGAGGTTTCTCAATTCGGCCGTATGTATATATTTTTATTTTTTTTATGTGTGTTCGGGGATAACTTCGTTATTTATGAACCGATTTTGATGATTCTTTTTTTGTTGGAAAGGAGATATCCCAAGTGTGGTACCATAATAAGGAAACTCAGATATGATCATAGCATCCCAGAGCAATCAAGGGCAATCCTCAAATGTTATAGGAGTTGACAATGTTGTTTTACTTTCCGCGTTATTGAAATCGGTTTTTTTTTTGTTCAAAATAGATCAGATCGAGGCTGACCCTCTAAATACATACAGAACATTGAAATACAAATAGGTTTAGCTTAATCATTAAAGTTGTGATAATAAATATACATGTTTTAATTACAGGTAAGCAAAACACTATTAAACAGACTTAAATTCTAGAGAACAGAAAATTACTTAACTAAAAAATTGTCTTTTATCTTTGAGGAAAAAAAACGAAAATTATGTATAAGAAACTTAGCTAGTTCTTAACATTATATAAAAATATAAAGATTTGAGGTGCATAGATATTTTTTACTTTATTACTTGTAATTTTTCAGAATATATATCTATATAATCACAGTTCTGAAGGAGAACATTGTAAGCATTTAATGTAACCGCTAGAGGTGTTTTCGAGCCGTATTTATTTCGACTGGAAATAAAAAGGGCAAAAAAATTAAAACCCGCGTTAAGGAATACATCGTTGACATTAAATATAATAAATTGATCAAAAAACTCCACAGTCTGTGATCAGATTCGAAATGAACCGACATATTTACACCACAGTTACTAAGCTATTGAGTATGATTCGGGTGAATTTATGAAATCATTATGAGAATCACGAAGGCAAGATTATAGCTTATTCCATCAGATGGAAGTTGGGCGTTGGATCATTTCCCAAGTTAATTCGAGTTCGTTGGGATATTGCTCATTTGCATTTTTAAGTGGCAGAGCCGGCTCGGGGCTTGCGTCGTTTACTCCGTAATGAGATGAGCTCGACTTTATATTGGATTCGAAATTAGCATGGGAAATATTGCAGCGCCATGTTATTGGACACTGCACCTACACGCACCGCACGGAACCGTGCGACGGGTGGTATTTTGTAGCAAACACGTGATAGCTCACTGTCCAGGCACTCGCCTGAGAACTAAACTCGAAAACTAGCCCGAGAAACAGATGAACTATGGGAAGTATTAGTAAGAGAGACATAATTCAAATAAAAGAGAGACATAATTCATAAAAGTCCGAGAGCCGTGATAGCTCAGTGTCCAGGTGCTCGCCTTTAATTCAATATACTCGAACAACCCGAGTTCGATCCTCGTGCCGGCACCAATGAAGTTGTTAATTTTGAGTGCTGACTTATCACGTGATAAGCGGTGAAGGAAAACATCGTGATCTCCTCACGCACCTGCATATTTTCGAAATAATAACAAAAAAAAATATTTCCAAGACATGCGAAGTCCTTAAAGCCGCAGTGGGGCCGCGTGGTGAACTACGCCCCGTTACCCTCTGTACAAGGGAGGCCTTTTACCAGCAGTGGGACATTTTAGACTGTAAACTAGGTGCTGCGACGACTTCGAGAAACGTCCCGATTGGGACTAAATCAGCCGTGTGTGATGTGCACATTGTACAAATTCGAAAAATGGGAACTCATTTGAGCGCCCTACTGAAATTCAGTCATCGATAGTAACGTGTAAGCCTATTTATGTTAAGTTTGTTGTCTGAGCTACTGTTAACACCGAATAAGCAATCTTAATAATGTCTATTTTATTTTCCACAAGCATTTATGTGTGCGTTCACACAAGTTTACCGCTGTACACTTGGTTTGTGACAAGCTTTTTGTGAATGAATCTTATTTGTGCTTTAGGCCACGTGGTGAAGAAACAGTTGCCAGATAACTAATAAGAGAGAATTACGGTGGCCGTATTACGTTATTATTATCATTATCACATTTTTTAAAACAATTGGTTTACTTTAATTTTAATGGTCTCTCGTTTTAAAGGCTTAACTCATATTTCCTTGATAAACTTCGTGGTGAGTGTATTAGTTAACAGTTTAAATTTTGCTTTCCGCTAAATTTATTTCGATCTCAACTCCCGCGTTCCCACTACTGAACGCTGTGCAGTTCGGAGGGGAGTAGTGAAATGGGTCAACCGAATTCGATTGAAAACAGACAATTTTTCGCAACAAAGGAATGTGAAACTTAAATGGGTAAACGTAAAGTTCGTTTCTATTTTTTCCTCTTTCCCTATGCGAATAGCGCGAGTGCCCAAGTGAGATGAGAGGGCGGGCGGTGTTTGCGGGAGGGGGGACGGGTGCATTCGAGCTTGAATGGACCGCGCATCTTGAACAGACAGAGGTTTCCATCGCTGCACTTGTTTGTAGAATAACCAGACACTATGGTGCTTTAGCGGAGAGTCCCACGAGTATTTTTATTCATTATACTTGTAGTGTAAGTGAAATCTGCTTTTGTTTAATAACGGTACTGTACCATCCTATGAAAATACCTTCGAGGCAATGGCAAATGGTACCACTACCATTTGTCATTAGCATCTTCAACATCAACTCCACAGTTCTGCATTTCAGCATCAACACGAGTGATTTTATAATTATGTTTATTAAATTGTTCCCAGCGCTTGAAAGTTTAAAGCAACATTTAACGAATGGAGAGAACATTTGTAACATGTTGTGACTTTTAAAACTTCTTTGAGATTTAGAAAAGTATGTATGTCTACCGGTTGATAATTAAAGTCATTTAAGAGTTTTTAAGTATTTTCATCTTCGTAGCGAGCTCTCCAGAATCTTATATAAATCGCAAACCAATCATGATCAAAAATCTACCCGGTTTCGTAATAAATGTTACATGTAAATAAATCTTAATGAAAGCCACAAAATAAATATAGCTCGAGCGTTACTTGAAAAAGTTTTTGCTGCGGTTAACATTTAATTATCTCCGAGATTTTCCCGCGTAAATGAAAACTTACAGCGTCTAAGGAAAGCGGCACTTAAGATATACTTTTACTGCAAAAGTTTTACTGCTATGTTGACGTCGTGCTGCGTAAGAGGAGCTTTAAACTCTAGTGTACTAAAGGTATGATTTCATAATTTACTTTTGAAGGTCTGTTCATAACACAATACATTTCCAGCTTAGGTAAACTTTTCAGTCTAAAAAGTCAGGTAAACTTTTTTACGGTCGTAGGGACACGCAGCAGCCTTGGCTGTTGCACGAATGGGCGAGCAAGACCGGCGGAAAGTTGAAGTATAAGACTTTCACGTTTCGTCTGGTGAGTGAGGTGGCCGGGGCCCAATTTTCAAAAGGTTGTCAACGCATCTGCAACCCTTGGGTGTAGCAAATGTCCATGGGCGGCGGTTTTCACTTAACATCAGGTGAACCGTCTGTTCGCTTGGCTAGGTTGTCTCGCTATGCTCGCCGATGGGAGTTCTAATCCCTGTCACAATTACTGCCCAAATTCCAAGATAACTATCCAAGACAACTATAAAAAAAATTGGTCACGTAACCTTAATTTTTAAAACAAATGCGTTAAGTAAAACTTGATCAGTAACGCACAGTATACTTAAGAAGCGAGATCTTGCATCGAGACAGTCCCGGGGCGTCCCGAGATCGTATGGTCGCCCTACAAACATCAAATTAGCTCAAGTGTTCATCGCGCCGTTGGAAACCGTTCGCGTTCGTCG